GCCTGGCAGGTCATTCATTAAACTTCCTGATGCAGTGTTTCCAAGAAGCCAACAACTGGACGCTGTGTTCCTCTGGATAGGAGGGGCAAGCCGAGGTCTGGCCTGGAGGTCATTCTCTGCTGTGGCCATTCTGCCCAAATCGGGGCAGTGACACAGTGGCTTCTGGTGCCAATCGTAAGAAGCTACGGAGCAAGGACCTTGAATACACACTCAGGCTCCTCTGACACCAGCAGCTACAGAGCCCTTTGGCGATAGAGGACACAAGAGAGACAGCTATGTGCATAAGTTGCTGGGGAGAGTCTGTGAGATCGCATACATTGAGGTTGGCCTTCAGTGGTCACAACAACCTGAGCCTGCACCTCAAGAGACCACCTGACTGCAATGCACAGCATGCCTTGGAGGGCATGGTGAGCACAGGTGGGAGCCAGGGGTGAGCACAGGAGGTGATTGATGCTAGTGGAGGCTAAGATCACAGCAGAGGGACAAGGGGGAGGGGCCAGAGCCCCATGCTCTTTGAAACATGCTGGTAAAGACACCAGGCCTCTGCCACGTGCTAACTTGACAGGACGTGATGGGAGGGATCAGACAGGACCAAAGGCCCTCTGTCGTGTGCAAAGAACACTGCAGAAAAGGGTCTCACACACAACAACAAGCCCAGGGACATCCACAGGAGCACAACAGACGATGGCCAAGAGGAGGGTATAGGCATCTCTCACTCTGATCCTAGGAGAGACGGTGGCTGTCAGTCTTTTTAAGAAATCCTCCTATCCATTCAGGGGGTGGAGAGATGGCTCTGCACCTGCTGCATCACAGTCATGAGGATCAAAGTTCGGATCCCAGCACCCACATAGCAAGCCAAGTGTCCCCTGACTGTAGCCCCAGCTCCAAGACAGGGATGGAGAGTGACAAGAGGACACCCAATGATAGAGGGAGACACCCAACACTCTCTACTGGACTCTGTACCGGCACCCACAAGTGTACACATACTCACAGTGTGTGTGTGTGTGTGTGTGTGTGTGTGTGTGTGTCATAAGTGCCAGGCTAGCCTCAAGCACATTATAAACTGAGGATGACCTTAAACTGCTGATCCTCCTGCCTCCATCTCCCAAGAGCCAAGATTACAAGTATGCGCCACCATGCTTGGTTTTCGCAGTGCTGGGAACTGAACCCAGGGCTCCGTGCACGATGGTTGAGCACTCTGCCTGAGCTACACTCCTCAGGCCTGCAGCTGATGGAGTCTTATGAAACCCCGTCTCTTCCAGAATTGGATCTTGCTCTCTAGACAGCATTTCTTTGTGGGTTTTTTTTGTTGTTGTTGTTGTTTTGGGGGGTTTTTTTTTTTTTTGGTTTTTCGAGACAGGGTTTCTCTGTATCGTTTTCGAGGCTGTCGGTCCAGCCTGGCCTTGAACTCACAGAGATCCACCTGCCTCTGCCTCCCGAGTGCTGGGATTAAAGGCGTGCGCCACCACCGCCCGGCCCTCTCTTTGTGTTTTGAAATGGGGTTTCACTGTTGCCCAGCTGGCCTCAAACTCAACATTATCTAGTCTCCACTTCCCAAGAAAAGAAATGGGAATTGTAGACTGTGCCACAAATCCTACCTTAGTCTATATGTTTAAAATATTCTTGCCCAGGAGTCCACATCCAACAAGGGACAGTGCCCTGACTCTCATGAGTGAATACTTCAAGGCCTAAGCTATCATGTGCTTGCCCAGCGTGTCCAAAGCCTTGAGTTTAATCCCTGCCACTAGCAAATAAATAATAAACAAAAGAAGTATAGCTGGATGCATGGACTCAGGCTGTACCCCAACACTCAGAACAAAGGGAAGAGGATAAGTGCAAATTTGAGACCAGCCCGGGATCCAGGGAGAGTACCAGGCTAGCCCAGAGCTGTATAATAGGCTGTGTCTCAATCCCATCTCCCAAAAGAGTATATACACCCATTGTTTCTTGGACACATCTCTAGTTTAAACTAGGAACCTTAATTCCCCAGTGTGAAGGTCACATTGGGATGTCACCTCCCACAGATTGACCTAACTCTTTTCATACCTTTCTTGTTGCTCATATTACAGCAATTAACATTTTGTTAATATTTTTAGGGTTTCTTTATGCTAAGAAAAATTAAGAAATTAGAAAGAGATATAAAGATGTGCCATGTTCATGTCCTGGAAAATGCAGTATTGTCTGCCTTCCTAGGCTGATACATAGATGTATGTGTACAGATTTGTGGGGGCAGCCCTGGGTTTGATTGCCAGCACCACACACAAAACCCAACAGGTAGGGAGCAGGTTCTCACGTAGCCCAGGCTGGCCTCAAACTCACTATGTAACCAAGGATGACCTTGAACTTCTGATCTGCCTGCCTCTACCTCCCAAGTGCTGGATGGCAGGTGTGGGGCGGGGGCTGGCACCCAGGGCTTTGTACACGCTAGGTGAGGGCTCTACCAACCAAGACACAGACCCAGTCCCAGCCCCAGATCCCCTCAGCCCCAGGCCCAGCCCCAGTCCCAGGCCCAGGCCCAGGCCCAGCCCCAGTCCCAGCCCCAGACCCCCTCAGCCCCAGGCCCAGCCCCAGTCCCAGGCCCAGGCCCAGGCCCAGCCCCAGGCCCAGCCCCAGACCCCCTCAGCCCCAGGCCCAGCCCCAGTCCCAGCCCCAGGCCCAGCCCCAGCCCCAGCCCCAGCCCCAGGCCCAGCCCCAGGCCCAGCCCCAGGCCCAGCCCCAGCCCCAGTCCCAGCCCCAGGCCCAGGCCCAGCCCCAGGCCCAGCCCCAGGCCCAGCCCCCCCCAGCCCCAGCCCCAGCCCCAGCCCCAGCCCCAGCCCCAGCCCCAGCCCCAGCCCCAGCCCCAGCCCCCCCCGCAGCCCCAGGCCCAGCCCCAGCCCCCCCAGCCCCAGCCCCAGCCCCAAGAGGCTTTTTTAGCAGACACTGGCAGGTTGTTTCAGCTATTTTATGGAAATGTCAAGAACATGAAATATTTCCTATACTCCAAGACTCACTGTAAAGCTACAATCAAGGCAGTGTAGACTCAGCATGACAACAGACAAATAAACCCATGCAACAGAGCAAGGGTGCAAGAAACAGACCCACACGTACACAGTCGCCTAGAAACAGTCTAAAGCAACATGGAGGAGGGAGTGATGAAACACCAAAGAATTTGCTCTTTTCTTTTTAGTTCGTTTGTCTTCGGGGGCTCCGCACGAGTGGGTGTTAAAGGAGTCAGTTGGATCTGTCCTTCCTCTATGTGGATCCCTTGGGTCAAATTCAGGTCATTGGGCTTGGTAACAAGTGCCTTTCCCCGTTGAATCATCTTGGCTGGCCCATCAAAGAGCTCTAAGAAGCGTTTTCAGGAAGTCTCTGGCTGCTGGATGGAGAGGAAGGGCTGGGGGTCCATCTAGTCAAGCAGGGGGATGAGCATGGGGATCGGAGCAAGAAAAGTCCGGTGGTCTGAGTGTAACAAGGAGGTAGAGTGTGGAGGTACACAGGAGGCAGAAACTGGTTAGTCTCCACGAGTTCAAGGCCAGCCAGGGATACACAGTGAGGTCCTGTCTTTGTCTCTTTCCTTCCTTCCTTCCTTCCTTCCTTCCTTCCTTCCTTCCTTCCTTTCTTTCTTTATTACTTATGTAGATCCTTGAGGAGCCCTGACCTTGGTGTGGGAAGGGTAAAAGGTAAAGGTGAAAGGTCACGGCGACTCATTTCCACACCCAAATTCCAGAGCTGGTTTTGCAGAGCGAAGATGGGCTGTACTGAGTGTCCACCTCAAAAATGGAGGGGTGAAGAGAACCACGGCTCGTCCAGAAGCCAGCTAGGCCCCTGCACTTGACCTCTGCCTCTTGGTGCTCATACGCCAAACTGCTGGCCCTCTGGCCTCCTGTTTTCTTCTTGCTGCTCCAGGGCCTATGTGTTGGTCTCCTGGGCTGCAGTCGTTTCAGTAACAAACAGTTAAAGGTCCCTGTTGCCTGTGGCCAGGGGAATCACAGGTCCTACCTCTACCGGCTCTGCTCAAACCTTAGTTAGAGCAAAGGGTTTGGGCCAGAGCTTCCGTGACACTGGATTCTAATTATGTTGCACATGCTGTGTGGCCTTGGGAGAGACACACCCCCTCTCGGTGCTGCAGTTCCTGACTGGAATGCGGATACAAATTATATACTTAATAAAGGTAGAGGTGACCATGGAAGATGGAAACAGGAGATTAACAGACATTTGTCCTGCCCTGGGCCGCCTGTACGGAGAGCAGAAACTGAGTCTGCACGTGGGGAAGACGGCCTCAAAGTAGCTCAAAAGCTGCCGGTGTGGGTGTGTTCTCTTTGCCGTCTCCTGCCAGTGCGGAAGGCTGCTGGTCCAGTGAGCGCCCCCGGGTCAACTGTCTGCAACCCCCAGTTTCATTTTACAAGCCAGCGGCTTCACCCCTGTGAGCCCTCCCCATCTTCTGATGGGTCAGCAGGCAGCCAGGCTTTGATTCACCATTTACTGCGAGCTCAGGGCAACCTGGTCAGGCGCCAGGCTGAGGGGAGACAGCCAGGACCTTAAGCTGGCTTCCCCGCCTTCCTCCGCCAACTCCTTTGGGTTTTCTCCTACAGACCCTTGGCTCTGGCTTAGGGGGAGGGCTACCGTTAGGGGAAGCGAGGGACTCTGGGGGGCAGATGCTTCAGTCGCTAAACCAAGTGGGTACACACAGCCTCTGAGCCTAGGCAGCTTCACTTGAAGCGCTTTCAAGGGTTCTTGCAAGACGGCTGCTATCAGCCCGCTAGTTACGCGGGCTCCAGACTCTGCCGCCCTCCGAGGCGCCACTCGCCGGTCAGGATCTGGGGACCCAGGCTGCAAACGCCCACGCCCGTGCGCCCTCGGCAGGCTGTGCTGGCGCCGCGGGGAAGAGGGAGGGGCCCGAAGGGCGAGAACGGCGGGCCACGCCCACCCACAGGTGGCCACGAGCGCTGAGAGGCTCCCGGCGGGGGCCGGGCCCGAGGGCGGGGCCTGCCGCGCGCCCGTTCCCACGTGTCCCAGGTTCCTGCACCCCCGCCCCCTCCCCGGCCCTGTGCTTATAACCCGGGATGCGCGCCTGCCCCGGCCCTGCTCCGCAGTCTGCCTGCCACTGCTTCCTGGGCTCGCTCACTGGTAAGAAGTTCCGGGCCCCTCTCGCTGTCATGGATCACGTCCGAGGAATCCTAAAGGGAGCGAGCAGCTGCAGGGGGGGGTGGGCACAGGGCGGCCCCGGAGTGACCGCGCAGTCGGTGGAAAGGAGGCTGATGCCCGGATTCCTATGACGCACACGTTCCTCCTGCCTAGGGGAAGGGCACAAGTCACAGGGTCCGAGGAGCAGGTGGAGTATGGAGGTCCCTTCTGGATCTTTCTTCTTGGAAGGCTCCAAGTAGAGACCTGTAGAGTCCAGAGGGTTGGGGGCTTCCGAGTCCCTCTCCCTGCCTCGGACTCGCCGTCTGTCCCCTGGCCTGTTTCTCAAAGTGACGCAGGAGGGCCAGTCCCTCCTTTCCCTTAGGGGCCTGGGTGTGTTGCTTCCCCGCCCGCCGCCCCCCCCCCACCCCGGAGTCTGAGGGTGTCCTGCTCAGGTGGACACGCGGACCCTGCCTACCTGGCCCCCATCCTAGGCTGTGACTGGCGTCCCTTCCTGGTGGGTTGCAGTGCAAGACTCAGTCTGGGTGGGGCTTCTAGCCAGATTTCCTGAAGGCTGGCTGACTGGCGGGCTGGCTGGCTGGCTGGCTGGCTGGCTCTTTGGGAGGAGCCCCTCTGCAGGAAACGTTTGCTTCTGGGTTGTTACTGCCTTGGGCCCTCTCCAGGGAGGCAGGGTCACTCTCATATGGAGGGAAATCTCCAGGAGAGCTCTCAGTTTTCCCCTCTGTGAAATGGGGCTTTCAAGCTGACTGCAGGTGCGGCGGCAGGAGCAGACTTGCCTTTTCCCCAGGGGTAGACCAGAAAACCCTTCCTTTGATCCCTCCCCTTGCATCTCCTCCACTTGGCCAGTGACCTGGCAGGTGATGCCTGACGTCATCCTCCCCGCCAGGAGCTGCCAGCCCAGCCTCGTGCTGTCCAAGAGCTCAGTAAGCTGTGGCCTGGGTCTGCTCACTCGCTCGCTGGGTCTGGGACATAGACTTGAAAAGACAGGTTCCCTGTCCTCTGGAGCAAGGCCTTCAGAAGGAGGGAGACAGCGGAGGGCACCAAGAGTTGGGCCAGGTAGAGACCAGAATAGTCTGCTTTTCAACCCCCCCATGCTCTCCCCCAGGGTCTTCCGTCACACTCCAGCCAAGGCTGGGAATCATCAGAATGGAGGGGGACTTCTGTTCACCACCCGCCTCCTCCAGCCTCGAGATACAGGGGCCAAGCCCAGGTAGACGAGGACAGGAAGCCCACAGTCCTAGCGCCCTTGGTCATACATGCCCCACCCCCACCCCACTTGCCTGCCTGCCTGCTCTGGGCCACCAAGGCCAAGGACTCATGGAGCCAATCCCGCCACCTGCTGCGTCAGCATTTTCTCCTGGTCCATCTCATCTTTACCTTGGATGCCCCTCAGCCAGCCTTTGTCCAGCTGTGAACACACAACTCCTGGAGTGAGTGGCTTGCTTGTGGACACCCACGTAGAAAGAGATGCCTTGCTGAACTCTGAAGCACCGATTTTTGCTTTGGGCAGAGTGGATTTCCCAGGTCCAGGTTCCTTGCCCCCTTCGAGGCTGGTTCCTGCCTGGACCCGGGGCACCCAGAGACACTGTTGGTAGCGTTAATGAGTGGATCAGTGTGCTCTTCTTGGATCAGTGTGCTCTTCTAGTGTAACTGGAGCTGTTAGCGGCAGAACATGGGTCCTGGCTGCCCCTGAAAAGCTAAGCCCTGCCAGCTTTCCCCCATAAGCCAATTAAAGAGACAGTTAACAGTGAAAGGCAGGCTGGGCAGTGGCGGAGCACGCCTGTAGTCCCTGCACTCAAGAGGCAGAGGCAGGCGGATCTCTGAGGTCAAGGCCAGCCTGGTCTACAGAAAACAGGGCAAGAGGCATTGCAGGCACGATGAATTGCATACTGAGCAATCCCGTTCAAGGTGTGGCCTGAGCTCTAGATAAGTGGTTGGAACTGTGTGATATCTTCTCTCAGTTTGTTTACTTATTTTTGAGACAGTCTCACTATGTGGTCCTAACTTTTCTGGAACCAGGCTGGCCTCAGGCCCACAGAGATCCCCCTGCCTCTGCCTTCCAAGAACTGAGATTAGAGGTGCGCACCACCATGCCTGGCCTCTTGGGAGAAAGGTTTCTCCTCTGGCTCCCAACAGTGCTTCAGCTTTTCCATTCCCGAAGCTTGAGGTCCCTGGGAAGCTCTGATTCAGTAGTCTGAGAGTCAAAGGAATGGATCCTAGTGTCTTCATGCTTGCCAAGACAGTTAGACTAGATAAGGGTTTGACTGCCTCTCACCAGAGATTAGTAAAAACCTTAGTCTCCCTACTGGTCTGCTTGGAGTATGAAGGTCAGAAACCAAAGTCTATCAAATGAAAACTTAGGCTGGATCCCGTAAGACAGTGGTTCTCAACCTTCCTAATGCTGAGACCCTTCATACAGTTCCTCATGTTGTGGTGACCCCCCACCATAAAACTATTTCATTGCTACTTCATAACTGTAATCTTCCTAGTTATGGATTGTAATGTAAGTGTCTGATATGCAGGATGTCTGATGTTTGACTTCTGTGAAAGGGTTACTGGACACCCCCCAAAATTGGTCGTGATCCCCAGGTTGAGTGAGAACCACTGCTATAGGAGGACAGTGTGCCCCCTGCTGATCAGTATTGGAATTGCAGACTAGCTTTCTCAAACACAAAGAGGGAGAGGTGAACTTAGACTCATCTCAGGGAAGCTGGGCCACATACAGTTAGACTTTTAAAAGGAAAGGAATGGCAAACCAATATGAGACGAATAAGGGCGTCATCAGCTGGACAGGGGGTGGAGGGACAGCCCAGGTAGCTGTAGTCTGGTGACAAGCTGTCAGGACAGGAAGTTAAGGGCAAAGCACCCTAGGAGCCAGCGCGTGGAGGGCAGTCTGCAGTTAGCCTGGGCTTGAAGCCACAAGCCTGTGGACTGGGCGCATTCCGTCTTGGGTAGGTGGCAGTGGCAGCCTGTACCTGAAGACAACACACATACATGTGAATTATGCATTCGCTCTTGTCACTCTAGCTCTGGCGATTTAAAGCCACTCAAGCTTCCTGGGTGCTGAGGAGCACCCTGGCTAGCCTGATATGTGTTTCCTGGGCACTGGCCACTCGGCTCTGGCTGAAGCCACAGAAAACGTCACCTACCTTGCCAACTTACACAAGCTGGCAGCCAACTTTGACGTGTGGTCATTTGTCCTCTTGCCTGGGTCTGTCATGCGAGGGCTGCCTATCCTGGCTTTGGGAGCCTGGGAGTTGGGAATGCGGGTTCCGTCCTTAGTCCAGCAGCCTTACCGCGTGCCTTCCCTGGGAAGGAAGCTCGGAGTCCTGAGCAAAGGGCTTTTTAGGTTGTGCAGATGGGGAAACTGAGTCTCAGAGAGTCAGGGTAAGCTGAGGTTTTCTTCAGAAGCGGTGTGGAGTATTTGGGAGGCCCCACACTTGAATTCCATCTCCAGCACAAGTGTGAGAGGTAAGATATTCTCACCCCTGCAGATGAGTGGCCATGGTTGGGTTACTAAAGCAACTTAAACCCATGTCCAGAGTACTCCATGGCTGCCCCTGTGCCTCTTCCTGTCTCCTCCCCAAGTCAAGGCCATAGCTTCATTAGCTTTTGAAGCTACAGCCTCCTTAACAGAGGTGCTGACTGATTTCTAGGCAGGCATGCACACACACACACACACACACACACACGGGTGTACACCCCTCAAGTACATAGAGACTCGGGTAGCCAAAGATACACACACAAGTGCGGACACACACGGCAAGCCTGTGTGCTTGCTTCGAGGCACACAGTCCTTGCTGGGCACGGCCCTTCACACTGTACAGCCCGAGTCCATACCCACACAGCCTGGCAGGTGGAGGTGGACGTAGAAGCCACATTTCAGGGCATCCTAGTCTCCTCCCCCACAGCAAGGAGCTGACTCCAAAGAGTAAGTATATCTGCATCGAAGTGCTCAGTGCCTGCCTGCTCCATGCAGCTCATGGCAGAAGCAGATTAGAATTCCGTGGGTGTGTACCCTGATGGGAGGAAACCTCCATGGGACCACTGAGGCAGGGCAGGCCAATGCAGATGTTTGATCTGTCTCTGTGGAGCCCCTACCCCCTTTCACCCTTCCAGGTGTCCTTGGAAGGGAAGGAAGAAATCACCATTAAAGATCTTGGGCAGTATCTATTCCCTGTGATACCCTGAGATACCCTGAGATGTCTGAGTACTCCCTTGCCCTTTGCTCTTCCCTCTGGTACCCTCAGAGCGATGTCCTTGTGTTATGGATGTGGTGTTTTGACTGCCCATAAGCCAGAGTATCCAGTGTGTGCAGTGCTCACAGAGGCCAGAAGAGGGCGCCAAATCCCCTGGAACTGGAGTTACGGGGAGGCGTGTGTGTGTGTGTGTGTGTGTGTGTGTGTGTGTGTGTGTGTGTGTGTGTGTGTGTGTATGCTGGGCATAGAACCTAGGTCCTCTGCAGGAGCAGCCAGTGCTCTTTTTTTTTTTTTTCCTTTGGTTTTTACGAGACAGGGTTTCTCTGTATTGTTTTGGAGGCTGTTGGCCCAGCCCGGCCTTGAACTCACAGAGATCCCCTGCCTCTGCCTCCCGAGTGCTGGGATTAAAGGCGTGCGCCACCACCGCCAGGCTGCAGCCAGTGCTTTTAACTGCAGAGCCATCTCTCCAGCCTCCTTCACCTTGTTTTTTGAGACATGGTCTCCCACTGAACCCAGAGCTAACAGATTTGGCTAGACCAGGGATCTGCTTGTCTCTACCTCTGGGGTTGCTAGGGATCTGAACTCGTGCAGCAGGTACTTTGCCAGCTAAATTACCTCTTCTTTTCGTGTATTTATTGTCTGGATTGTGAGGATGGCTTCCCGGGGGATGCATATAAAACTTGACGAACTGGATGACTGAAATGCATGCAGCTAGGAGCTGGAGTACAGCTCAGTGGCAGAGTGCATGCTTGGTAGACACAAGACTGTAGATGCCATCCTTGGCACCATGTCTCTTGCCTCAGGCAGGCCACTCACAGCACCGAGTGGCTACAGGGGCCAGATTTGTGGTCTCAGCATCACATTTGCTTTTACAGAGTTGTTCACCAGACCAGAAAGACAGACTACGGACTCCAGGAACCTGTACCTGAAACCCCAGGTATTTCCCAACTTGGCCCTTCCTGCCTCCCTTATCCTTCCTTCCTTCCATCCTCTATGGCCAGTTGCCTAGCTGCAGTTGCCATGGGTACCATCTTCTCGCCCCAGGGTCAGGGCCTGCTGAGTCACCGGCAGCCCAGGTCCAGGGCAGCTGGCTGGGCAGGAGCAGGCAGAGACTGTAGGCAGCAAAGAGAATTGGCCCCCCCGGACCAACCATTTTGTTCCTGAGGTGTTTGCATCCTTAAGTCCAAAGGGCATTAGGGCCTTCGAGAGACCTCCTGGGGCTGACCAGAGAGTGGGCCTGGGGGATGTATGGGGAACCGTATAGCCTTGGCTGGAGATCCAATGTCCTCATGCAGTCTGGGAAAGCCACTGGAGCCCAAGGGGCCGCACTCAACAGTCTTTCTTCATGGTAGTGGTGGCAACCAGGTGAGCCTGCTGAACTCCCAGGTTTGTGCAGGGCTGTCCATCTCCCTTCCCAGCTGACATCTAATAAGGACCCTAGCAGACGTTGCTCTAGAGCAAAGGTTCCCAACCTTCCTAGTGCTGTGGCCCTTCAATACAGTTCCTCATGGTGTGGTGACCCCAACCATAACTGTAACTTTGCTACTGTTATGAGTCATAATATAAATATCTGGTATGCAGGATATCTGAGATGTGACCCCTGGTTGGGAACTACTGCCCTTTTGGAAATGTGAGACTCTGAGGCCTGCGTCCAAATCTGGTCCTGCTGCCTACTGGACTGTTATAATCACCTGGGTGGTGGCTGAGTTTCCTCTTCAGCATGTTGGGGCACATGGGTGTCATACTGGAATGCAGCCTGAGGGCTCTCGAGGAGCCTTCTAGACAGGAAACAACTGCGAAGGCCAGCAGACAAGACAATCATAGTACCTTCTGGAAGGTTCTGTTAGTTGAAGAATGGGTTGTATTGTGGTAGGCTGCTGAGAAAGACCCCGGCTAAGGGGAGTACTCTGTCTGTCCTCTCTCTGGTCTATGGGGAGTACGCTGTCTGTCCACTCTCCAGGCTATGGGGAGTACGCTGTCTGTCCACTCTCCAGGCTATGGGGAGTACGCTGTCTGTCCTCTCTCCAGGCTATGGGGAGTACGCTGTCTGTCCACTCTCCAGGCTATGGGGAGTACGCTGTCTGTCCACTCTCCGGGTTATAGGGAGTACTCTGTCTGTCCTCTCTCTGGGCTATGGGGAGGTACTCTGTCTGTCCTCTCTCTGAACTATGAAGAGTACTCTGTCTGTCCACTCTCCGGGCTATGGGGAGTACGCTGTCTGTCCACTCTCCGGGCTATGGGGAGTACTCTGTCTGTCCTCTCTCTGAACTATGAAGAGTACTCTGTCTGTCCACTCTCTGGGCTATGGGGAGTACTCTGTCTGTCCACTCTCTGGGCTATGAGGATTATTCTGTCTGTCCACTCTCCGGGCTATGGGGAGTACTCTGTCTGTCCACTCTCCAGGCCTGTTTCTCTGTCTGCACACAAGAGACTTTGACAGATACTGGGGTCTCACAGGTCCCTCAGAGTTATCGCCCCCTGAAAACAGACAAGGTGACGGGACACCTCGAATTCCAATGTGTGCTGAAGGGAGAGTGGCCTGGGACCAGATGACCTGTCCTGTGGCTTCTTTTCTACCCAGATGCGGGAGGCAGCATCATTTACTAGGCAAAAAGTCAAGTTCCAAAGCCGGGCTCTCTTTGACCTCGAGCTGTTTGTTCTATGGCCTTGGCCGCCGACCTCCCTGAAATTCCACTGTCCACCTACTTCTGGGGTCCTTGTGAAGGCTCAGGGTGATACACACAAGGACCCCAGGGCCCTGTCTAACACATCTGGCTTGGCAAGAAACAGTTCTAAAGGGGGCGTGTCATCTGCCATGGATCCAACTCAGGCTCCCTCCCTGCCTCCAGTCACACGCATCCCTCAGACGCTGGCCTCTCTCTAACTGGTGGGGACTGGCTCCCAGATCTGCCTCCTTATCACCGGCCCCCACCCCTGCCATCAGCATTCTTGGATCCGATGTGGGACGTGTGTAGAACAGTCAGGTCAGGGTCTCCCAGGATGCATGCAGGAAGGTGGACATTCTGTTCCCAGTGGTTTGTCCAAGGGACAAGCTGCCCAAGGCCTCCCTGGGTGGGACCGGAGCCAGGAGGGACTTTGCAGGGCTGACACTCAACATTCCTTCGTGCTTCTCCAGACAAGATGTCCAGCAAGGGCTCCGTGGTTCTGGCCTACAGCGGTGGCCTGGACACCTCCTGCATCCTTGTGTGGCTGAAGGAACAAGGCTACGATGTCATCGCTTACCTGGTGAGGAGGGGCCTGGCAATGCCCGTGGGTCCCCAGCCCGCTCTTTGTCACTCTCTTTCCCTGCTGCCCGCATGCCACCGTCCCTCCACCAAGCCCCGCTGAGCCAGAGGGAAACAGAGAAGGCTGGCCCTCAGGAAGGTGACAGGATGGGCAGGATCACGCCCTCAGCTGTGCCTCTGCTGACTAGAGAGGGTCCTTGTGCTTCGACGTGGCACACAGTCCTGGCCTCTCCACGCAGCCTCCCTCCAAGTGGCCTTGAGTTCTAAGATGGCAAGGGGAGCGTCAGAGAGTTTGGTGCCTGACGCTACTTCTGCGCCCAGGGCCTAGCACAGACATCACTAGTTGAGTCAGCTGCACTCAGGATCCTCAGCAAGTCTTGGAACACACCCCACAGCCCTGCCAGTCAAGACTCTGGGTCAGAAGCCCTGGACTCCAGCCTAGAGCAGCTGAAAGCAAAAGAACAGAGCAAAAATCGAAAAGCAGTTTTGGCCTCTCACAGGGTAGGAAGGCTTCTAGCAGGGCCAGATCCGGGCACTGTCCCGAGCTGTCCTTACTTCATTTGGCCTCTCTGCAACAAGCAAAACAATCATAACCCAGCTGTGTCAGGCTCACACACCGGTGGTAGAGCTCAAGGCTCCTCCCAATGGCTGGAGTCAGGCCTTCCAGGAATTCTGCTCTACGGCTGCACCTTGAGAGCATAGGTCTGTGGGGCGTGGGGGAGAAAACAGTTCCCACCATCCTTGGGGAAGGATCCTCCCAGTGAGAAGAGCATATGAGAAGTCCTCTGAGGAAGTGAGTCCACTACTTTGAACAGTGGAGTTGGCCTCAGCCAGGAGGGGTCTCCGTGTATGGTCAGCTGACTGGCTACACGGGATGGGGAGAGTAAGGGTGTGGGAAAGCCCTTTGTGCAAAGCCCCCCAGTGACTGGCAGGTGTGTGCCTGTCAGGCAGGGCAGGACCCCAGACCTGGCAGAATGAAAGCTGAGTCATCCCAGACAGGGACTTAGAGCTGGGCTTGAGAGAGAGCAGAGCCTGTGGGTTCTGGTGGGAACAGGCAGTGGGTCCCAGTGCACAGGTAGAGCGTTACATATGCAAACTGACTGCCTCTGAACTCAGGCCTGCTCCCACTAGGGCACTTGGATAAGTTGGTCCCTGCCTATGGCCAGGGAGGCCTTGCCTGGCCTCAGAGGAAGCGGGGAGGGGGGCAGGGGGTGGCCGCTCAGGTCCCCCTGCAGGCCCTTTCCATTCTTCTGCCAACTCACAATCATGGGACACCACTTCTGTGACGGCTGAGGACAGCTGCATGTGGGCGGTGGCTGGCCCGGCTCACCCGGGAGCCTCACAATGCTCTTGAACCGCTCTGCCCCTTGGCTTACTGCCCCCCCCGCCCCGTCTCTGCTCCACAGGCCAACATCGGCCAGAAGGAAGACTTCGAGGAAGCCAGGAAGAAGGCACTGAAACTTGGAGCCAAGAAGGTGCGTGTGAGAGGCAGGGCTCAGGGCTGAGTGGGTTTGTGACGGGCGGGCGGGGCAGCAGGGCTCTTGTCCCCTACATCCATCCCTTCCGATCTGACCCCTTGCTTCCAGGAGGGTGGGGGCAAATGTGCCACTTTCGCTCTATGAACACCACCCGCCATCTGACCATCTTCTTATCCACCCATCCACCTACTTACCTGCTGACCGGCCCACCCAGCGGCCACCCACCCTGTCACCACCCACCCTGTCACCATCCACCCTGTCACCCTGTCACCATCCACCCTGTCACCATCCACCCTGTCACCCTGTCACCATCCACCCTGTCACCCTGTCACCATCCACCCTGTCACCCTGTCACCATCCACCCTGTCACCACCCACCCTGTCACCATCCACCCTACCGCCATCCACCCAACTCCCCGCTTACCCTTTAGTTAGTTTGACCACTCCTCTTTTCTCACGTTATCTTCTTTCCCATCTACTCCCCCATCATCCATCTGTCCATCCCTCTTTCAACTGCCTGTCCATCTGCCTATCCTTCCATCCTTTCCACAGGAAACAACATCTGGGCTCAGCGCTGGCTGTCTCTGACCTTGGATAGACACATCTGTGCTGGGTGTAGGCAGTGTGGATGGCCCACTCGGCGCCATCTATGAACTGCTCCCGGTGGGGTGGCCTTGCCGCTTGAACCCTTTTTTTAATTATTTATTTTTAAATTTAAATTTAAATTAGAAACGAGGTTGCTTCACAAGTCAGTTCCAGGTCCCTCTCCCATTCCCTCCCCTCCTCCCGTGGCCTCCCCCCAACCCTCCCAATATCCCCTCATTTCCTAGGGAGGGTTGAGGCCCTCCATGGGGGTGTCCATAGTCTGTCATTTCATCCAGGGCAGGGCCTTGACCCTCCCCCAAGAGTTCAGGGTGAGAGTGCACCTCACATTGTTGGATGGGAGTCCAAAGTCCGTGTGTATACTCGGGACGGGTACTGATCTGCTGCCCAAGGCTCAATAGATTACCTAGGCCTCCTCACTGACACCCACATTCAGGGGGTCTTGATCGGTCCCATGCTGGATTCCCAGGCTGATGCCTGGGATTCAAGAGTTAACCTTTGTCAGGTCAGCTGTTTCTGGGGTTAAACCAGCCCAGTCTTAATCCCTTTGGTCATCAGTCCTCCCTCTCTGTTACTGGCTTTGAGTTCAGCTCAGTGCTTAGCCGTGAGAGTCTGCCTCTGCTTCCATCAGCCACTGAATGAAGGTTCTGTTTCCCAGATTCTCTGGCCATGGGATTGTAGGCTGGCACTCCCCAGATCTATGTCTAAAATCCATATATGAGAGAGTACACGCCATATTTCTCTTTTTGTGACTGGGTTACCTCACTCAGGATGGTTTCTTCTGGTGCCGTCCCGCTTGAAGCCTTTTGCTTGGAGACTGAATAGGAGACAGACATTCCAGCCTGCTGCCTGGTCAGAACTGACCACGCTGTCGGTTACTTTTTCAGTTGCTTGGCAACGCAGGGCTCCACAAGCCAGTCAGAAAGATCACTCAGGGATGGAGAGTCACAGGCCCAAGTCACCGTCCGAGCAAAGTCTGCCATGAGAAGTTTCCTCCGTTCAGGGCTACCCAGAGGAGGGAAAGGAGGAGCCGGGAGGGTGGGGCTGCTTCCTCCTTACCTAGGCAGAAGGAAGAGCTCTCAGGACGAGTGTGAACTTCAGCCAGTGCCATGAGTGTAGAAGGAGACTGGTGGTGTGCTTGGCTGGAATCGATTAGTTATATGCACTACAGAGCAGAAGGAAAGGCAGGATGTGGCTTGCTCTGATCTCGCGTGGCCACTGGTATAGCCATGGGCTCCCACGGCTCTGTCTGTGTTCATGTTGGACGCCAATCATTGCTAGGCTCCCTCTCACAGCTGCTCCCTCTCCCTTTAGGTGTTCATTGAAGATGTGAGCAGGGAGTTTGTGGAGGAATTCATCTGGCCAGCTGTCCAGTCCAGTGCGCTCTATGAAGACCGCTATCTCCTGGGTACCTCTCTGGCCAGGCCTTGCATAGCTCGCAAGCAGGTGGAAATTGCCCAGCGCGAGGGGGCCAAGTATGTGTCTCATGGCGCCACGGGAAAGGTAAGGCTAGGGATGGCTGGATGGATCTGGTGACTGGGAGGAGGAAGGGAAGGCAGCTGCTGAGGATTACCGAGTTGGGGGGGCGGAGCTGGGCGGGGCGGGGCTGTGGGGCGGAGCTACCTGAGCAGCAGTGCTCATCCCTTCAGTCTGCCATGAGTGCTCAGCTTTGCAATGGGAGCATTGTCACCTGCTTGGTAGACCTGACAGGTGGTTTCACGCATCAGATAAAGTCACAGCATATGTTGCCATTGATGTAATAAAAAGGCCAGAAAGAATTGAAGAGCAGGGTGGGTTCTGACGGCCAGAACTTCAAGGATATAAAGACCTGCTCCTTCCTAAGGCCCGGAGAAGGGCTGTGTTCGAGACTGCCCCTGCCCAGCTCCCCAGGCTTCATTCTTTGCCTCATAGAGTGGTATTCCTGTGTCTGTGAGGTGTCTGTTTCTATGTCCTTTCTCTGGGGAGACACCCTAATGACCTCATCAAAACCCAGCTCCTCCGTGAAGACCAAACAAGGTCACATCAGAGATCTGGTGATTTAGACCGGGGCCCTGGCTGCCTTTTTTTTTTTTTTTTTTTTTTTTGAGACAGGGTTTCTCTTGGCTGTCCTGGAACATCCTGTAGACCAGGATGGCCTGAAAATCACAGAGGCACACTTGCCTCTGCCTCCTCCCAGTGCTGGAGCTAAAGGGATGTGCCACCATGCCTGGCCATGGCACCTGGCACATGGCACCGTTTGCCTGCAGGTGCAGCACAGATTAAAGAGAACCCTTGGGGACAGGCAGGACAGTTCCAGTTCCCAGTTCTGTCCCCAGATGATAGCCCTGGAGAGTCAGGGCTCCTAACAGCATTGATGACTCCTAAGACCAGAGCTCCTGAGCAGGTGGATCTCTGAGTTCGAGGCCAGCCTGGTCTGTAGGGCAAGTTCTAGGATAGCCAGGGCTACACAGAGAAACCCTGTCTTGGAAAAAAAAAGACACAGGCTCTCAAACAGTGTAGGATAGGGCACAGCTGCCAAAGCACTCCACTGTCCATACCGCATGAGGCTTGCCACCCTGCTGACGCGGGGCTGGCGATGGTAGGGCAACTGGAGCCGTGCAGCTAAGGCTCCCGTCAGTGGCCCTGGAAGCAGCTGACCACCAGGGTGGCGCTGGGCGTTTGGGAAAGCTTGGACACTCCTCCATCGCCTTGGACACCAGTTGAGCTGGCTTGCGTCTAGCATGTCAAGGGTAGGATACCTGGTGGGTACAGGCATACTGATTCCTTCGAGTCTGTTCCTACCCTTGGGAGACCCTAGAGAGAGGAGAATGTTGGCTGATACAGCTGCTGATGGTCAGAAGTCAGGAGCCTTGGGTCCAGGGTCAGGAGGAAGACCACTTCCTGTCTTCATGGCATCTGTACTCTGGCTACGCACACAGGTAGACACATTGCAGAACCAGGGAACAGTGTGTCCCTGAGATGAGAGGCTGTGACAACAAATGTCCTGTCTGGGGACGCAGAGAAGCTACGGGAGAGGCTGTAGGGTCAGAGCCCAGCTCTGGCAATTCTCCACAAAGGACATGGAGAACAATCCTCCTGGGTAGTAGCCGTGAAGCGGGGAGCACCCCAGGAGGGTCCTGGTTTTCACCGGCGCCCAGTCTGTTTAGCTGGGTGTTAGGGGACCACATGAGGAGTGGTAGGTGATGCAGGCTATCCGGGCAGCCCGTGCACGCCGTCTTCCCTTAGAGCCACGGTGGCAAGGGTGGAGGTCAGACCCGGGGCTCAGAGCTGCACACTAGGCTCAGAGCGAGCACCATAGTTTCCACTTTGTGCGTTTCCCCTGTGGGTCTCTGCATCCCCATCTGTCTGTAAGGCAAAGGGCAGGTATCAGTGCCGGATAAAAGCCCGGAGCTCCATATGTAGTGAGCAGGTACGGAGCTGCTTGGAGGCTTGCAGGCTGAAGCTGGGCTCAGGATTCTGAAGGTCCACCCCGTGCGGAGTCAGACAGGCCGCCTTCAGACTGATAGAACAAGGGCTGCATCTCCTTTTGGTCCTGTCTTGAGTGAGGTAGAATGGCTGGCTGCTGCAGAGTGGCCACATGCTGTGCTACATGCATATGACCACCAGAGGGCACCAGACGCTTAGGTTTGAGGATGCTACGGACACAGGGTGCCGAGATAGTGGGGACTGTGACCCGGGGCTTGAGTTCACGGCTGTGCTTTTTTCAGGGCTTCACCAGCAGGGTTCTAGATCTTTCCACGTGTGTTATACAGCTGCTTTGATTGAACTTGGGGTTGTCTCTACTGTGCACGGGGGAGATGGCCCGATTTGAAACATATCAGAGCCCCCTGAGGCCAGCGGCCAGAAGGCCAGAGAGACTGCTGGGAAGCCAGTGCCGCTTTGGTTCTGCTGTCCCTGGTCTGAGTGTTCACGGGTTTACTCCTATACCTGCCTCCACTCGTATACCTAGGAACACGCACCGCACCTCCTCCCCCAGCCCATGGCCTTCGGAGACAATTTCTAAGAACTAGAGAATGAGGGGAGGCCTGGGACCAGGCTAGGGCTTAGCACTTGACTGCAGTGTTTCAAGCCTACTGCTGTCTCCTCTTGATCTGGGTGGTCCTGGGAGCCATGGCCTGAGGTCATTGTTCTAGCCTGGCACTTGCTATGTAGACTAGCCCGGCCTTGAGTTCAGATTCCCATGCCCCTGTCTCCCGAGTGCTGGGGTTTAAAGGCGTGCCAAGCTCCTTGTTGTTTTAGTAGACTCACTATAGATCCAGGCTGGTCTTGAACTTGCCATCCTTCTGCCTTAGCCCCCGCCACTGAGAGTTCTACAATATTTTTATTTTTTTATTTATGAGGTCGTGTGTGTCCGTGGGTGCATATATATGCAGCACACGTGTGAATTAACCTGCAGAGCTCAGAAGGCACTGGATCCCCCGGAACTGGGGTTATGGGAGGTTTTGAGCCACCGTGTAGGTGCTGGGAACCTGACCCATGTCTTCTGCAAGAGCAGCAAGTGATCCTAACTGCTGAGCTCCCTCCCGCCCCAGCACTGAGATTTCCTCTGTAGATAGTAACTGCACAGCCAGGAGGAGGCGCTGTGGGGCTGAGGGACACTAAGCCAGCGGGAACACTGGCAGCATGTGTTCAAATAGCCCGGAAGAGCAGGAGGTAGCCAGGGACATGGAAAGAAGCGCAGCCCAGGCTGCAGGCACGGCCTGTGCAAAGGCCCATGGACAGAAGAGCATCAGGTAGAAAGGCGTCGTTTCTTATCCTTGGTTGCTGCACTGAGTGGGATCCCGTCCATACGGAGACATGCACAGAGCTCAAGCCCCTGAATTCAAAAGAAAAGCCAGGAAACATGAGCCTAAGGCTCTAGGGGTGCAGGGGGGTAGTTTGTAATGGCACCATCTGCAGGGCTATCCCAGGACAGATGGGAGGTGTTCCCCTCCCTGCCCTCCCATTCCCAAGAGCACTCAGCACGGTACACGCATGTGCACACACACCAGTGTGTGGACGTGTGTGTGATGTGACACTGTCTGCTTCCCCCACCCCTTAGGGATGCCGCTAGCGGTGCCCAGTATGGGGAGTCCCAGGTCAGTAAAGGGAATGCAGGGCCCTAGACTCTTGCCCAGGACAGACTGAATGAGGAAAGCCTGTTTGTCCAGCTTTTCCAAGGCTCTCGGCTTCTGAACAGATGGGTTTCTGTCCCCTGCCATGTCTGGGTCAGCAGACACCAGCCCAGCCGGGCCTGGCTCCGGAAGCACAGGCTGCCTTTTGTGTCTGTGAAACATGAAGCCACAGGGAAAGTGTGACCAGGCTAGGTAGCACTTGGCCATGCACAGTGCAAATCTAAGCTGCGTCTGCTTTGTGCTAGAATGTTCTGACTTCCTAAGGGTGCCTCATGTGGGTCCCTGGGGAAATGCTGCTCTCCTCACCATGTCTCAGTGTCCCCACCCTGATGGGGACAGTGCAGCCCACCCATGGGGTATGGAGCCGACAGGCTCACGGCACCTGCCCAGCCGGTGGCTCTCAGGATGGATGTGTTGCCTTTGTGACCCTAGGCACTGGTTTCCCGTCTCTGTCCTTCATTTTGCTCATCTGTCAAACACAGTTAAAGGCCCACTGCCCCCTGTGGCTGTCCCAGTGACAGCGGTAGTAGGTGTACAGCGTGGAGACTGAGGGACCCCAGTGGGACCCAGTGTCCAAGAGGCTCAGCAGCAGCTTCCTACAGCTCCTGGCTCTGTGGGGAGGGGCTGGGGCCAGGCTTCCCGCACCACCTGACAAGACTCTGGAAAATAACATGTTATTCCCGCTGCTGCCTGGCTGCGCCCGTGCAGTTTTCACAGTAGGCGGAAGGGGCCTCTATTATTTCACAGTGCCTGAGCCTCCCTCTCTGTGCGTGGCAGAGCAGGCAAACAGAGACAGCATCCCTGGCAGCCCGTGCCCACCCTACCCCTGTTTCTCTTGTCTCGCGGGGATGCTCAGGATGACCATCTACAAGCTGTGGGGCATGTGCCAGGGCGCTGAGGCCCTGTGGTTGGGGGTCTGCCCCAGGAAGACACTCATCTGTCCACCTTATCCACACCCCTTCTGGCCCTCGTCTCCCTGTTTGTGTAGAAAGAGGCTGAACGCAGAAGGCACGCCCCCTCCAACCACACACACCTTACCTAAGAACTGCATCTTACAAGTCCCGTGGGGAAGCCTCGGGGTCTGGTCCCGGCCCCTCTCATGGAGCAGAATCTGTGTCTTTGGTCTCTGCCCTTGAAACAGGCTGCACATGTCACAGGCTAGCCCATGTCATTTTGTCCTCCGTCCCCAGGGGCCATACTGTGGCACTTGTAAACCCTTGCTCTCTCTTCCAGGGCAATGACCAGGTCCGCTTTGAGCTCACCTGCTACTCACTGGCGCCCCAAATTAAGGTAAGATGTTGCTTCTTCCCCTACGGAGTGGACAGTGAGGGCAGGACATGGAGATCCAGGAAGTGACAAGGGCAGAGTCCTTGTGCTGTTGATATCTTCTCCGTGTCACTCCATGGTGCCCCTGGCTCCTGTAAAGTACGCCTGTAGACGAGAGATGGCAGTCTCTAGGAAGGCTGCGGTATTCCTGGCCGTTCCCTCTTCCTGGAGGTGCAGTCCAGGTACCTGATGGAGGGTGGCATTGATATCTCTGGTCACAGGCCAGTCTCTTGTTGCTACATTCTGACTCCTTTCTGGATGTTTGTGACTGACCTCTCCATGTGTCAGACCCTTCCCCAGGGTCTCGGAGATTAACTGCCCCTGCCCCTGCCCCTGTCCTGTCACCTGGGAGTGTATACATGAGTATGGACCTGACTGTTCCCTTCAGTCACCTGTGCCCCTCCAGCCTGACTGACCTGGGACTCTGTCTCCTCATCCTTCCATCCCTTCATTTCTTCACTCGCTCCCTCCTTCGGTATGTGGTAATACGACGCAGGCCTCATATGTAGTTGCTTCAGTCTTAAAAAATAAAATAAAATCCAGGCATAAAGATGAAGACCTTTAATCCTAGCACTCAGGAGGCAGAGGAAGGCAGATCACTATGAATTAAAGGCTAGCCTGGTCTACATAGTGAGTTCCAGGCCAGCCACGGCTATGTAGTAAGATCCTGAGAGAGAGAGAGAGAGAGGGAGGGAGGGAGGGAGGGAGGGAGGGAGAGAGAGAGAATCAGATGGCATAACCATTTAATATTTTATTGAACCCCATGTATCCAAAAGTTATGGAGTCAGCATTTCCCAAGCTGTCAAGAGGGTTTTCTGTCCCTTTCTGGTGCTGTTCCTCCAGGCCCAGCCTTGTGGACTATGACTGCATTCTGCATTACACAACCTCAATTTGAGCTCCTTGGTAGCCCCAGGAGACCCAATCCTTCTCCATCCCCTTGGGCTTCTTCCTCTCTGTGGCATGTCTTTCCCTGTCCCTTGCATGGACTGCCAGCTGTCCCCAGCCTGGAGATGGGGCCGGCCTGGAAGTGAGCAGTAACGAGCTCTGATACATTTGACCTCCGCAGGCCAGGCCTCCAAAAGCACCCAGCACGTTAGGTAGCTGCACTGCTGCAGTCTCTGGACCAGAGTCCATCCTTCAACCTCTACCTCTAGTTCCCACGACCCCTGGGGCGCTGGAGTAATTTTATTTACAGAGGTGAAGCCCAGGGACTGTGGTGGGCTGGGGGCAGGGGCCCAAGCTGGTTGTCTGGAGGTTGAGCGGCATACCCTGGTGCCCCACAGCCCCGTGTGTCCACCACACCAGGGACATGGCTTTGGGTTATATACAGAATTCTACTTCTCGGGGAACTGTCGCTAACCCTGAAGTCCAGCAGGGCCCAAGTGGAAGAAGTGTATCTGGGACTCTTCCATGATCCCCTTCCTCTCCAACCCACCAAAGCTTTATTGGGGGGGGTGGCAAAGTACACGTATGCTATCTCCTGCCTGCCCTGGTTCACCAAGGGCCGCTGAACCGGGAAGCTCTCCCACCTCAGACACTCAGGCCTCAGCTGGAGAAACCGAGGCCCAGAGGGATACACAGGCCTTCACCACCCAGTATTCCTTCCTCCGTCTCCCCGCACAGCCCACTCCCCAGGGACTAAGTCTTCTGAGGGACACAGCAGGAGACTCCTTACCCAGGTCCTGACCCCTTTGTCCTGCCCCTAGGTCATCGCCCCCTGGAGGATGCCTGAGTTTTACAACCGGTTCAAGGGCCGAAATGATTTGATGGAGTATGCAAAGGTAGGTCTGTGCCTTGGCGGAGCTGTGGGGATGGGGGAGCCAGTGTCATGACCCGATCCCCACACGATAAAAGATAGAACACCCTCCTGTAGCAACCGTCCCCCATTTCCCAGGTGGGCGTCTCTGCAGTGACCCCAGGTCACTGAGCCGGGAGGCGTTGGGTCTGCTCTGAGAGACCTGCGCCCCTTCTACAGTGTGTAGGTGTGGGTCCCCAGGGGACGGTCAGGAAGGGGGGGGCAGAGAAGCTGTTCTCTGCACCTCGATTACCTGGCCACTAATTGTCCCCAGTGCTTTCCCTGGCACACGTAGACACTCCCAGGCCAGTGTCAGACAAAGCCCTTCATGGCGCCAGCCTTTTTTTGAAATACAAGTTGCAATAAAACATATTAGAAGTTTTGCATCACGATCCCTAGCTGCTCCCCAGGGCACCTTTCTTTTTAGCGACTCGATGGCAGCACTTGACAAACAGCCTCAATCAGTCAGACAGGGGGAAAAGCAAGTCGGTGCACACACCAGAAAATTGCTCAGGTTTTTAAATAGCAGTCGCCGGGGCTGGCTGTGCGAGCTCGCCACAGCCAAGGTGCTGCGTGGTAGGGGACGCTGCGGGGAACACAGGGCTGCAGGGAACGCAGCCCTGCCCCAGCCGCCAGCATCCCATTAGGCCCCCTGAGCGCTGGGAGGAAAGGCGTCCTCCACCATCTGTTGTTTTATTATTAAGAGTGGAGTTTACAAGAGCAAACCCATATGTTGCCAAACAAATCGTCAAATAGTGGTGCTATTAAGGGAGTGGAGGTTGGCGAGGCATCTTTTTTCCTCCCCCCCTTGTCTCCTTGATGAAGAAGAATATGAAGCAGGCCCCGTCTTTAGGGATAATGAATTACAAGCCCTGTGCTTGGCCTCCCTCCCCTAGTCCATTGGAAGCCAGAGCCAGGCCGACCTGCAGCTGCGCGTACCCTCCCTCCCGGCCCCGCTGGACGGCAACCATACCCCAGCATAGCTGAGTTTGTGGTCCCTTTCTTCTGGACCCCGGGGGGAAGGCACTAAGCTGCCACCTCCACTAACCTTCAGAATAGGAAAAGTTTGTCTAGGAAGAGTGTGCCCCCCCTTCCTGGGTACTCGGTTATGGAAAAACTTTAGCACATCGAGCCAGCAAAGGAGACAGCACCCAGGAAATGAGCAGGAGCGCCGAGCAGCCGGTGACTTTGTGTGAGATTCACAGCCAGGCAGGATCTGAGACAGATGAGGGAGGGAAAAAAAATCAATGGGGCTTTGAAAATCTCTGCTTTCAAAACTCTTAAGTAGCCAGGGTCAAAGGGGGCTGCGGAGAGAGGCACGGGAAGCCTCTGCTTGGCTTCTGCCCCTCCCCAGACCACTTCCCAAGGCTCAAAACCACCCCATCATCGTCGTTATCACAACTGATTAGAAATAATAACAACCTGAAGGTGCAGACGTGCATTCCCGGGACGGAGAAGACGGAGCTAGGAGGATCTCGGGTGCAGGGTCAGCCTGGGTGAATTAGTGAAAGAAGGGGGGCTGGAGCAGAGGCTCATTCAACATGGGAGAGTCCCTGGGTTCGAGCTCCAGCACCTCAAAAAATTACTACTAAAGGTGACTGTGGACACTGGAGCAGCACCACCGCCACTTGCTCCCTGCCTGCACCCCGCCTTCCCCCTGTCCCACCGCCACCTGCCTCTCGCTGAGGCTCTTTTCTGTCCTTGGTTAATCTGTGGTCCGGAGGGTTGGAGTGAGGCACAGAAGTCAAGGAACCGCAGGTCGGTCCTGGGCTCGGCGCTAGGCAGCGTCTATGGCTCTGCTGAGCACAGTCACCCGCCCTGCCTCTCCCTGCTGCCCTTCCCACATGCCTCCCCTTGCTCTGTGCCCGAGTCCAACTGAGAAGGAGGCGAGGGTCCCACACCACCCCTAGAAACAGAGGCTCCAGGGAACCTGGCCAGCTGCTTTGCTCGGCTACCCAGCAACATGCCCTCAGATGTCACTAGCACTGTCTTGCAAAGTCCTGGTCCCCGGCCTGACAGCTCCACATGGAGAGAGCACAGTGCAGGTGTGGGCACTGGATCCGCATTGAGCAGCTGACACATGAAGTATTCTAGTTCCTGTACGGTTGAAGTCAAAGGACGAAGATGCCAGGGGCAGTTGTGGCTTTGCATTTGGGGGTTGCTGTATGTTTGTGTTGGTCTTACCCTGCAGCTCAGGCCTAGGACTCACCGCAGGCTGGGCTGCCATCAGATTCGAAGCCATCTTCCTGCTTCAGCCTCCCGAGTACTGGGATCCCGCCATGAGCAGCCTTGCCGTGCTTTTCTTTCTTAAGTTTAGCTAAAGGAGCAACCCAAGGGGCTCTCTCTTTTCTTTTTAGCAATGCTTGAAGCTTAGGCCTGTAATGAAGGACTGGCAGCAGCTCTAGACTCTTAGGTCTCAGCCTGTGAGCTGGATGGGCAAACCTCTCCTCAGAGAGACGGTCCTAAGTGGTGCCAGTGGAAGCTGAGTTTCCACTGTGACCACGGGGTTGGGGCGCCTGCCTGGCCTCATAAGCTTCAGGGGCCATTAACTTGGCCATCTATCCTGAATTCCACGCCGCCACTCGAGCTGAAAGGTGTAGCGATTCCTGAGCTGAAGTTCAGAGCGCATGCGGGGGTTGGGGGGGGCACAGTCGGATGTCCTCTTTCCCCTGGAAACTAAGCAAGGTAGACTTTCAAGGGTGGCCAGCCACTGCCTAGCCTGGGGTCTGGGTAGATCTCCTTCAACAATGGTGAGGACCATTTGGAAACCAAATAGCATCAAGCCACACCTAATGGAGGTGGGGGCTGGGTGGCTCTACTCTTAGGGTATGCAGAGTGATTGCATGGCTTGGAGGGATGGTTCCCGGGGATGCCTTGCAATGGAGGCTCCACTAGGTGCTCCTCCTTTCATAAGGTCCGCATGAAGGCTCAGGATAGATGCCTCTGTGGTCCACTTGAGGCTGCATGGTAGATACTTAGGCTTTCATAGCCCCCAGCTCTTAGGATATGGTGGGTATCAGTAGCAGGTGCCAGGAAATGCTGAGCCAGTACCTGCCACTAAGTGCCTCTAGGGAGTATGGGCTCATGATTTCTTCTGGAAAGAATTCCCCAGTCGGCCCCCATGCTTCTGTCTTCTGATTAATGGGGGCACTCAAGTGGTTAAGACCCTCCCCCACCTCCCTAGGTATCCTGGGGAGGGGAGAGGGACATGAATTGGGGGCCAACTGGCACCTTGAGGGACCCCAGGCAGTAGAGCATGACCTTCATGTGTCCTTCCAGGCTCACCATGACCATTTTGTCTCCATCTGTAGCAACATGGAATCCCCATCCCTGTTACACCCAAGAGCCCATGGAGCATGGATGAGAACCTTATGCACATCAGGTAAGTCCAGCCCCTCCTGGTACTGAGGAGATGGCCCAGGGGCTAAGAGTTTTGGCTGCTCTTGGAGAGGACCAGGGCTTGGCTCCCAGCACCCACATGATGGCTCACAACCAGCTTTAACTCCGGGGAATCTAGCGCCCTCTCTGGCATCCATGGGCACTGCACACATGTGGTGCACATACATACATGCAGGCAAACACTCTTACACATAATATACAAATAAATGGGAGAGAGTGAGGAAGCACAGCCCCTCTGGTTCCGGGGTTGACTTCACCACGTTCTCTTCCACTTGTGCAGGTAAGCCCTGTGTTGACCTGGCAGGTCTGGCTTCCTGGGGTATTGGGAAGTAGACGGTCTCTAAGGTCAAAACCTCAAGGATGAAAAAGGAATGAGTATTGAAGGCAGAGGTTCTCATGTGTGACATCCCAGGGCTGCACCCACAAGACTGAGTGGGGGAAAACCCCAGTCCTTCCTTGCAGCCTGGGGTGGCTCAGAATGTTCTGGGTAGGGTTGGCAACATATGCTTTGGTGGAGAGGAAAGGCAGACTGGACTTGTGGGTAATTCACAGGATGGTAGCTGTGTACACAGCATTACTATGTATACTCAACTCACCTTTCCCCTACAGCTACGAGGCTGGAATCCTGGAAAACCCCAAGGTAAGCCCCTTTGCCTGGGAGCTGGCTGCCTGTGGTTGTAGTCCTCAGTGCTCTTGCTATCTGATGCGTGTGAGACCTAATTGGAAATTTCATGAGGGCCCAGCGTAGCTATGCATGCCAACCTCCCAAACTCTCCCCACGGGCCACTCTGTCCTCTGTGTGCTCTGCTCTGAGTCCCCCCCCCCGGGGGCCCCACACACCCCACTCCCTCGGCATTCTTCTCTTAACTGCTGCGGAGATGAATAGTGGAAGGAAGCCTTTCAGGGGAGCAGAGGGAAAGTGTGACTGGAAGACAATAAAGAAGCGATTAAGCAGATGAGACGCTTGTGGGCGCCGCTTGTGCCCACCAGCTATGGGCAGGCGCCGGGCCGCTGCCTGGATTGGGGTGTGAGGGCTTCAGCCCAATGAGCTGTTTGTCTGGGTCTGTGTTCACACCCATCCTGGCTTGTCCTCCTGGGTTGACCAGGGTGAACCTGCAGACCCATTTCAAATGTAAGGTTTCTGTCCCCCGGGGGGGGGGGGAGCTTATTGTTTCCCCATGCCCAGTGTGGGAAGGGAGGTGGCAGGTTGAAGCCTATCATGGGAAGAAGAAGAAAATCTCTTTGTCCACAAGGGAATGACTCCAGTTCCTGGCCCGGCCCCACACCCTGGGTGGCTGCTTTGTGGGGTTAGTCTGCTTGGAAGCCATTAGAGAATTTGGGCAGCTGGGCCTGGGGGATCTGAAGGCTGGCTGGAGGAGAACTGGCCGGCAGTTTGAGTCAGGAACCCCTTGCCAAATGTCCTAGAGTACCCCCATGCCCAGGTCTGTGCTCCACTGACCCCGTCCCTGTGTTCCCTACCCTGGCAGCGCCAGGCTGTGATGGCTAACCTAAAATGTATGAGCCCAGCCCTGGCTCTGGCACTTTCCTGCTTTGACTTCCTTGGATTCTGACTGTGCCCAGTCTTGTTTTATGGGTGGGGAAACCGAGGCCCAGAGCAGCGACCCATTCGGTCAAGACCCGAACGGGGGCCCTGAGTCCCCTTTCTCTCCCCACACCTTCCCTCAGGCACCCATCCTGTCTGAGCCTCCAATCTCTCTTACACAAAGCAGAGATAGAAAGTGCTTAGCATGGCATGGGACAAGGTCTGAGGCAGGGGCATGAGGGTCTTGCCCTCTCTTCGGACCAGAGTTAAGACTGAGTGTCCCAGGTCTGCTCAGAGCTTCCCTCATCGAGCAGTGAGAGCAGGCTGGGCTAGGTGTGAGTGCAGAGGCAATGGCATGGCAGCCCACACTTGTCACTAGGGAAAGCTGGTGCCCCCGCCCCGCCCCACCCCGGGGACTGATGGGCCCATGGGGCTGCTGCCTGCTGGCCACGGGTTTTTCCAGTTCATGCTCTGCTGACCCCACGACACTCAGGCCAGCCACTGCTTATTAGACAGTCAGTCACACCAAGGGGGGCCCAGAACTGAACCACTGAGCAAGTGCTTCTAGGTACTTCCAGACTAGCTCCTGCGGGCCCAGGTACACTGGGAAAAAAAACTCCAGCCTTCTCTCAGCAGCCTGTGATTAGCCTAACCTCACAGAGAAGCAGAACCCCTGAAATGGCCACCTCAGAACTGGGGAAGTCGAGCTGAAGCCACATAAGAGGCTTGGAGCCTGAGATTTAGTGTGGTTACCATGTCACTAGGAACAGAGCTGGGTCCCAGGGCTAACAGGTCCCCATCAGGTCCCAGGGACAAGTACCCTGCATCAGAACCCCAGGTCCCTGCTTCTCACTGCTGCAGTCTCCAGCTGTGTGCCCTTCATCGAGCAGCAGGAACAGGCTGGGTGAGGAGAGGGCTGCTGAGGTACACTCCCTCCACTCTGGCCAGGGGACTGACATTGTCCTTCCTCTGTGTTGTCTTGGCCTTGGAGGCGGTCCCCATCCTAAGCACCCAGATGCTTTTGCTTCTATGTCCCTCTGCTCCATGCAGCACCCCCCACAGCCGTCAGCCACCCTTGGGGAGGAGCACTGAGAGCTTCAAGGGCCCCCCTCCCCCTCCCCAAAAAAGATCTGCGCCTGCGGAAGGGAGGGTTTGAGGCAGATGGCTGAGCCATTTTCTGCCTCCGCCAGGGCTGATTGAAGGGCAATGAGGCAGCTAATACGAAGAAAGATAGAAATTTACTTGCTTTAACTTCATACGGCCCACAGTGAAAGAGTTCATTCAGCCGCCGGCCGCCATATCTGATGGGTGAATAAGTCACCCCCACATCCATCATGCCTCTACATCACGGGTTAGTTCATGGGCCATTTGCTGCAATCCCTCCTTCGCAGGCCCTGCTCCATGCTTTCCTTCCACCCAACGCCCCTCTCTCTGTCTCTGTCTCTCTCGGTCTCTCTCTGTCTGTCTCTCTGTCTCTGTCTCTCTCGGTCTCTCTCTGTCTGTCTCTCTGTCTCTGTCTCTCTCTGTCTGTCTCTCTCTGTCTCTGTCTCTCTCTGTCTCTGTCTGTCTCTGTCTCTCTCGGTCTCTCTCTGTCTGTCTCTCTCTGTCTCTGTCTCTCTCTGTCTGTCTCTCTGTCTCTGTCTCTCTCTGTCTCTGTCTGTCTGTCTGTCTGTCTGTCTGTCTCTCTCTCTCTCTCTCTCTCTGTCCTCTCTTCCCCCCACCTGACCCAGATGACATTGGAAGTGAGCCCTCCCGCTGGGGTGGGTAAATGGCCCCAGATACTCAGCAATGAACTATTTGTCATTTGCACTGGGCTTTCAGGAGGGAGATTTAAGAAGAAGGCAGGCACCCCGTGAGCACAGAATGCAAAGTAAACACCAGTTTATTTAGATATTTGACGGAACGGGGCTGTCAGTTGCCCGCCCCTACCCTGACTGCTGCAGTAGAGTGTGTGAACTTGTCCTGTCCCAACGACCTTCCTGTCTCTTGTCTTTCCCAAGGCATCTGTCCTCTGCTGCTGGCTTGTGTGGCCAGAGAAAGAACAGGTTCAAAACTGAAGTGGCTGCAGTCACTACGGACGGGCATGGGGGGAAAGGTTTAGGGGTTTGAGTTAAGCCAGGGCCTGGAGCTCTGGATATGTGGGAAAGTGACCGCTGTGCTGGTCACCCTCAGTCCCCTTAACCTCTGAGCTGAGCTTCAGGCCTTTTTATGCCCAAGGAATCGTGGTCTTTGCACTGCCCAGAGCGAGTCTGGGAACATGGCATTTCTCTGCTCCATGATGAATGGTGTGACACTCAACCAAAGGCATCAAACTGTTTCTCAGCCCAGGTTGCCATAGCAGCTGGGAAGCAGCATGAGATGCTAAAGGTGTGATTTGGACCAGCCACTTCTCCGGGCCTTACTTTTCCTTCTGATTTCTGGAGGTCTCTTGCTGTGGTGTGTGTTTGGGGGGTGTGGACCCTTCACACCTCCCTGGGTCTGTCTCTAAGGCCATCCTGTGTCCATTCACGCAAATGGCACTTTAGGAGGCTGTGGCTGCCAGCCCAGGGTAGTAGAGTGGGAAAGATAAAACTTACCACTGTGTAGCACCAAGGATTCTTGAAGTATGACCCTTGGGATGTTAAATACAGGACGGCCCAGGAAAAATAAGGTTATTGGTCATTCAGCACAGAGCTGATGGGTAAGGGATCCACCGTAGGTGTCCCAGAGTGCCGTTCTGTGGTCTCTTCTGGAGAGAGGCACAGTGTCCGTCTCCAAGCTGACGTCCCACCTTCAGAGTGAACTAGTACCCAGCAGCCTTTGCTCAACACTTCATGTGTTACATTTGAACTTGGAGACAGTCAAGGGTGCACATCCTTTCCCCATATGGAAGCTGAAGTTCAAAGAATTACAGCCATCTTCTGAAGACACCGGCCTGACATTTGCCACCATCCTAAAGTCTACCACCATTGAGTATAGTGGTAATCACAGCACTTGGGAGTTAGGGGGAGCAGGAAGATCAGAGGTTCAAGGCCAACCTGGGACGTAAGACTCTATCTACATAGCAACACACAGTTGTTGAGGGCCTTGTGATTTCCCCTCCCACACGCTAGGTGGCCTGGACTGCTTGTGGTTGCGTAGAGCATGGTTTGTGCAAAACTTAGCAGCCTCCCTGCAGCCTCCATTTCTGCCCCCATAGATGGGACAGCATTTGTTCCTGCCAGGCAAGGCTACTCGAAACTCCAAAATGAGCAGTGGTGTGTGAATGAGCTCTCGAGGTTGTGAAAGGAAAAGCTGACGGCTGTGAATCCCAGACGTGGACAGAACAGCTGGGCACAGGATGCCCCCGGGACGAACTTGAGCAGTCAGGCCCACAGCTCCCGGCCTCATGGTGGCAAGCATCCAGGCTTCAGGCTTAGGTTGCAGGGGAGCTGGAGCCTCTAGAGGCAAGAGAGAATTTCAAGGAAGCAAGCAGCCCCTCCGCCTCCTCCTGAGGAAGAGGGGCCCATTTTCTAACGCACCCAAGAAAAAATATACATAAAGGTTGATGTGTTTTCAAATGGTTTTTTGCTTTGTTCTTCTCTTTTCTCCCCGTGAGTATTAACCTCGGGGACCCCAGGGACGGCTTGGCCCGCTAGAGCACCTGCTGGGGTCACGCGCAGTCATTAGCTTTGCGGTCAGTGCAGAATAAACCCCAATTCCAGGCGCTGACGCGAGCGAGCTGGCGAGGGAGAGAGTGTGTATGAGGCTCCCGGGAAGCCTGTGCGCTGCAGTCCTGTGAAGTCCTCTCTTTCCTGCCTGACTTGCTTCTCTCCTGCTATTCTGCCTCCAGCTGTGGGGGCGTCAAAGAAAAAGATGAGATCAAGTTGAGGGGAAAAATTGTCTGATTTCTTGAGTCCTTTGTTTCTCAGGCCCCTGGCAGGCGGGGCTGGCTGGGAGCTGGGAGTCCGCTGGACCCACTGGCTGCTGGGGAAGTGCCCAGGGCCAGCAGGAGGGACAAGGACAAGGAGGGACAGGTACCCGCAGGAAGTGACAAGCAGGTGTGTATGCTTGCTATGGCTCTTGATGTCCCAGCTTCCTCCCTCTCTCTTTTAGAGCCAAGCCCCCCCAGGCCTCTACACAAAGACCCAGGACCCTGCCAAAGCACCCAACAGCCCAGATGTCCTTGAGATAGAATTCAAAAGAGGTATGTGCCCACCCATCAACAAGGAAAGGGGGTGCTTCCCCTACCTGCCTGGGATCCAGGCCCTCTCACTCCCTGCATTCCTGGAAACTAGAGCACAGGCAGGGGCTTTGAGGGTTCCCAACAGTGTGAGCCGCCCAGCTTGGGAGGAGGGTCCCCCTGCTGTCGTCAGTGGCACTGACATCAGACCTAGTCAGAGAACCTTCTGCCCCAAAGTAGCTGGCTTTAGTCAAGTCACTCTCTACATCCTTGAGCCTCAGTTTCCCTATCTATAAACTGGGGGGTGGGAGCACCTGCCATTTTTCTAGTGTGGAAGGAGGTCTGTAGGGAGGGCATCCAGCCAGGTGCTGCCACCAGACTGCTTAGTGGTGGCAAGTCAGCCACAGAGCTGGCCTCAGGGACCCTGAAGACTCCACCGAGGCTCATAAAGCTCGGCTCATCCTCGCTTAGCTGTCTGGGGTTTCCTGTTGCTGCTCCTCTGGTTTCCCTGTCTTGCCCTGGAGGAAGGAATTGAGCATGGACATGCCTGGTGATTGGAACAGAGCCCAACTGAGAGAGGGTATAGGGATACAAGGAGGAGACTCTTCTAGAAAGCTTCCTGAAGGAGATGGTACCTACCTAGCAGGAGCGAGGGAGGCAGGAAGCAGCACAATTCAGGCAGGGAAGCCCGCCAGCCGCAAAGTGGCCCCCAGGCTGGGGCGCAACCAAGAGATGGTCTCTGATGCTCAGACTCTCTCCAAGATACCTCAGAATCGGGGGACAGGGTGATGAGGGCTGGAGATCAGCTCCAGGTGTCCCCGGCTGTTAGACTCTGGAACTTCACCTCTCCGGGGCTGAGTTGTACACGGCTGTAAAACAGGCTGTGGTAAGGTTCTTTGCAGGTACCCAGCAGAATGTGGGTGCAGGGAGGGCGTGTGTAGAGCAAGGGTGTGGTACCGTAATGGGCCAGCTACTCCCCCCAGCCCCTCCCAGGGAGCTGAGCTGGCTGACTTTCCTGTGGGTACCTTCTCTATGACTCTTCAACAATGTCACTTGAATCTCACACTACCCAGGGACCAGAGAGACCTTGGGTGGGATCCTAAACATAGTGGAAGCCTTGGCTCCCTCTAATTCCTTCTGTTGGGAGCAAGGAGCCTCCCTGGAGCTTTGCTCTGAGCAGATGGTAGGATGTGCCACGCCACACTGCAGGCTTCTCTCACAGGGCCTTCCAACCCCTGGGGTCTGGGAAAGTGAAGGGTGGAGGGAAGCCGGAGGTGCAGAGGGTCCCAGGCACGAGCCTCCCACAGCCCATCCTGGAGGAGCAGAGCAGCCCCAGGCGGAGTTGAAGAAGAGATGGCTATCTGAGAAAACAGGGAGGCGCCCGCCCGCCCTTGCCCAGTCCTCATTCACTCGCTAGTTAATTTATTTGAAGTTTTAATCTAATTATTAACTATTTTAAAAGCTAAGAGGCTTTCTCTGGCGGCAGCACCAACAATGTCAACCTCTCCTCCAAGGCAGGCCCCATCCAAGGCCCCAGCTCTGGGTGATAATAGGGCCAGGGATGGAGAGAAAGAGGGAGGCGAGGGGTAGGGGGTGGCGAGGGGGCTTAAGGTTCATTATTGGGCAGACTTACATTTAATAGCAATTTACAACCAAGTTATAAAACCCCTGGAAATGGGGGTTAAGAATGGTGAGGCTGTCAGCGCTCTGAGCAGAGCCCCTCCAAACGGCGCCTGGCTAATAAAGACTCCAAAGCCGCTATTGAGCCCTGATTGGCACCCGATGGCTCGCTACATGGTAATGAGCCAGGCAGATGGGTGGGGGATTAGCCGCCAACTTTGAACAGCTTTTCTTTGTCACTGTTACGGCTCTCTTGTTAGCCCCCTAATACATTTATTACCCATTTCACACCGCTCGAGAAAGTGCCCCTTGCTATTCAAAGTCAACCCCAAACCCACCCACTGCCCCCTCCCCACCACCCCCCTCGACATGGCCCTTCCCCGGCTGAGCCTGGGCTGTCTCCCTCCTGCCACCCCAGACAACACATTTCAGAATTCATGGGTGTCTGCTGGAGTGGGCACCACCCCAGCTCATCCATCAGGTGGCTTTCCGAGGGCCCGGGATACAAGACTGGGGCTGAGAAGTCCCTGTCCACCTGGCAATTGTCACGGAGCACTGCTCAGATGCATGTGTGTATGTGTGCACGCGTGTGCACACACGCCTGTGCATACTCTCAGGGTTTGGCTGCACCTCGGCCAGGCGGCCCCCGGGTAGCTGGTGGGGACAGAAGGTGCTCACTGGTAAGACAATGGCGAAGCGTGAAATTCAATTAGTTCAGGGCCTGGTTCCAATTTCACAGCCCCTAAATGCTAAAGGGGCAGAGAGAATGGGAGGGAGGGGGCGAGCGTTTTATTGCATTTTCCCTTTCATTCTGGGGGGCTTTCTCGCCCCTTCTCCCCCCCCAGCACAGGGCTTTGAAGGAGTCATTGGGACTCCATATCTGTCACATCCATTTAAGGCGATGTGGGTGGAGGGAGAGGGTGGGGTGGTGGGCACAGGCTGCTCTGCTGAGCCCCAACCTGGAGACCCAATGCTCTCTCTTTCCACCCCAGGAGTCCCCGTGAAGGTGACCAACATCAAAGATGGCACTACCCATCACACGTCCTTGGAGCTCTTCATGTACCTGAACGAAGTTGCGTGAGTGTCCACAGGCTGTCTAGTCTCCCAGGACTGCCACCTCCGGCAAGCACTGACTTGGGTCGGGGTGACTAATGGTCACAGCCGAGGTTCACGACCTGGAGGCCTGGCTGTTTTGGCCCTGCAGACAGAGAGTCTCCTGGACCATGTTGGTTTGGCAGGAGAATCCTGGTAGTCTACTTAAACCCACAACCCATGAAGATAAAAACTCTATGGCTACCACTGCCTCCTATGGTCTGCCCAGCTGGGGGGCTCCAGGCCTTTGACTGAGCCGGCCATCAGGACACAAAGAAAGACGAATCTTAGTGATGGCTAGGCCAAGCAAGTCCCAGTTCAGAGGTAACAGGTGAAGCAGGTGGCACCCAGCGTGACCCAGATAATCGCTTTTCTTTCAGGGCCTTCGTTCACCCACCTGTTTTCTTGGGCCTGTTTCCCTGGCTCAGGTGTTCCCTAAGTTGAGTTTTAGAGCCTTAGACAGAGCCAGGATGCCCATAAGTAGCTCTTTAGACAAGCCAAAGCCACTTGCTCAGTGGGTGGCCTCTGACCCCAAGCCTTGTGGCAACACCTGAGTCCAAATGACCTGTTCCTTCCCAGGGGCAAGCACGGAGTAGGTCGCATTGACATTGTGGAGAACCGCTTCATTGGAATGAAGTCCCGGGGTAAGTGTGTGCGGCGCCCCCTGGGGCCTGCTTTGGTGGCTCCCGAAACACCCGAACCGTTTGGATGTCACCGTTCACCCCATGCCACCGTGGCTTCCTCTTCTTTCTCCTACACCCCCATGAAGTGAGGACAGGGATGAAGCCGGCACTGTGCTCTTTGCCCCGACTTCCCAGGGTGCTGTGAGAGGAGCTGCCTCTGGAGTGGGGAGGGATCTAGGAAAGAGGTTGGCCTAGGGGTCAGACTGTCTTGTGTCACAGGCGGGCCAGCCAGGTTAAGAGGCGGACCATGCAGGGCCAATTTCGTGCTCATTAAGGCGTTTCTCTAACACCAGGCAGGCAGCAGAGTGGGACTCCTGCCAGGGAGGGCGCTGTGAGCTGCACACAGGAACCCTGACAGGCCAGACCAGTTCTGGCACGTCTCCAAGGTCTTTTTGCCAGGGACAGATAGGCCCTACCTTTCTGTGGCATGCCTGCCTCTTTGGCTAGTGTAGGCTGCCACCATGGGGCCATCAGATCCCCTTCTTGGCTGGGGGATGGAGAGTTGATCCCAGGGTTATATGGGGTTGGACCCCAGGCAAGCGCCTCTGTTGTCATGACTCCCTCTGTCAGTCATGTGCGATTTTACTGTCTATACCCTGGTCTCCTCAGTTTCTCCATCCTTTGAGCGTCTCCATCCCAGATCCCTGCCAGTCCTGTGGGGGGGGGTGACCAATGCTTTTAAGGGACTCTCATCATTTTGGCACTTAGGGCCCCTGAATGTTTAAATACCAGTGACACACTGGTAGGGGCTTCAGATCACTTTGCTTTGGTGTTGGCTAGAGATAACAGCCAAATAAAACCAGACCAAGCTTCAATCCCAGCCTTGGTCCTTGGGGACATTTTTAAATTGAGATTCTAAGTCCCAAGTGGGCATGCGTCAGATGAAGATCCCAGGACCTGGCCTGATGAGCTTGGACTGGTGATCTCTGGGCCTCAATTTCCCCTAGTGTATCCTGGGTCTGCCTGTGATAGTTGGGGCTGGCAGAGCTGGAGTTGCCTCTTTCCAGGTTGATCACCCGTGAGAATGTGCACAACCGCAGCTCTCTTGAGGCCTTGCAAAGAACAATGCGCTAATGAGTGTCTCCTTCTCTCCCAGACTACCTTTGTCTCTTACCTATTTAACATCTGATTAAATGCCCCTTTGTCTCCACCTGCCCTTGGGAGCCACACAAAGCAACTCCTCCAAGGCAGCTCAAGGGGCCTTGGGAGAAACTAGCACCTAGTTTTACAGATGGGGAGACCAAGGCCCTAAAGGGGCAAGGGATCCCTGCAAGTTACAAGCAGGACTCAGAGGAGGGGCATCTGCCCAGGGAGGCTTGGGGAGGAGGTCTAAGTCGGGGCTGTGGAGATGGACAGATCCAGGTTCAAATCCACCCAGGATGGTATGAACAGCTTCTGTGGAGTTATTTCATCAATGGCTTCCAGTCCCCAGGGGAATCCTGGGGGAGCACCAAGGCAGCCATAGGGTGTGTCAGGTGCCAATCGTACCCTTCCTATACCCATGGTGGACATCATTAATTGTTTGTGGCCATGTCCTGCTGACTCCAGATGCAGGCTCAGTGCTACTGGTGGGTACCACCACCCCAACAGGATAGTTCCATATGTCCCTTTCCTGAGAAGGGTTGGCTGCACCCGACTCTGAAATGCCATCCTGCCGGCATTCTCCACTGAGAATCACTTAGCCCCGAAGAGCCACAGCAAGAAGTCAAGTGTGTCCCACAGAAAAGCCTGGAGCTCAGTCCTCAGCTCTGCCTAGATATGGTGTGTGTGCCTCTTGAGTGTGTGTCCCTGAAAGCACAGGATTTTATAGTCTCCGGGAGGGAAATTGCTGTGTAACCTTAGGCAAGTTGCTTTCAGTCTCTGAAACACCGGTCTTCGAGAAGAAGGGGCCAGCCTAGGAGAGCTCCCCAGGAGTCCTCACTTGCCAGTTTTTATGCTTGGTAATTTTAGGGTACCCGGTTTTTATTTCTGCGCTCCAAACATTTCTCTGTGAGAAAGCAAAAACAGACAATTAATGAGGGTACTATGGACTCCTCTTGAGGAGTTTATTAGATGTACAGTGACAGCGACACCGTTAATCCTTGATTATGCCCAGAGCAGAGCTGGGGTTTTCAGGATCTCGGTGTATGTGGGGGAAATGTCATTTGTATTGATTTTACGAAGCTGGTAATTGGCATTCATTAGGAGCCTGATTTTTTTTTCTTAGGGGACAGGAGCACAGGAAACTGAGCAGCATCGGCACCCTGGATCTGGGTGGCCTGGCTAGAAGGCCTTTGGGGGCAACCACAGAGTCAAGGACTAAGGGCTGGGGGGCCTCAGATGGAATGGCTTGGCTTTATTGTGGCTGTTCATGTCCTTGATATCACGTTCTCTTTTTAACTCTAGAGGGGGCTAATTAAATGAAGTCAGTGGGGAGGGGGAGGAGGAGGCAGGCAGGAGGGAGCCCGGGAAGGAGCCTCCTGCCTGCCTCTGCGTGTCCTTTACCTCAGCCTCTCTGGCCTGGCCTTCACCCATGGCTGCTGCTCATCCTCCCCACTCTCCGCATGCTGGCTTCTGCTTCCCTCACCGTTGCCCCCCCCAGTTCCCACACCAGACCTGGTCAGCTGTCTTCTCTTTGCAAGCGTCCTTTTTTCTCTCATCTCCCTACTCTCTCTCCCACTTGCCCCCTGAACTTCATTTCCAAGAGAGAGTAGCACACTTGCTTTTATCCAGCCTCTCTGCCCATCCGTCTGTCCAGCCCTCCCAGAGCTGTGCTCGTGTGTAACATTACAGATGGACAGAAAGAAGACACTTGTAAAGCAGGAGAGTCAGCCCAGCAGGGAAGGGATGGCTAGTCTCAGAGACCCAATCTGATCTGCAGGATGGGCCACCTGGGCACAAGAGCCCAGAGAATAGCTAGACTCCCACTCTGACTTGCCTGCCATCACCATGGCAACCACCTCCAGCCTTGGCCCTGGTACCTAAGAAAGGAGCCCTGGGGCTCCAGTCAATCTATCCTCTATCATCCTTCTATGCCATCCACCTCCCCAAGCCCCTTCCACTGGATGCCAGGGCCTCAGGTCCAAGTACCCTAGCCTTAGGCTGGCTCCTGCAGGTTCAGTTGTACCACACTTCTCAGCCCAAGCCAGGCGCAGTCTGGAAAGCTGATAAGAATTTGGGCTGCCGCAGCTGTGTGGTCCCCACCTTTTCCTCTTGGTCCACTCTCTGCCTCCCGCCACCCCAGCTTCTTGGCCTCCCCAGCCACCCACCCTCTCCTAGCGGTAATTAGGGTGTGATTGAAGCTGCTCCGCAGAGGGCTGCTGACACCTCTGTCTTCCCCGTAAACACGGGGAGATGGAAATAGACACTTGGAGCCGCGGTGCATGTCACTCTGAAGATGTCTGTTGTCTGTTCCACAGCGGCGCCAGCCCAGCTGTCATTTCCTCTTCTTTGCACGGCGGTTTGTATGCCGACTGTCAAAAGCCCCAAATCTATAGCCTTTTAGAGTCAAGTTTCTGCCACTGTTTTTTTTTTCTGAAGAAATACACAGAAATCATCTGTACCCCCTAGCCCTGCCAAGAGAGGGGAGAGCTTTAAAACACATTGGCACACACACATGCAAAGGATAGCTAAAACCAGCCTTTTGATCAGTCATGAATAGCTTTAACACCGCCTGAGATGGGACCAGGAGTATTAATTGTGCTGCCGTCTCCGGGTTGGGGCTTTGCTGCACACCTGTGACCTCCCTGCTGCGGCCTCACAACCATGAGGCTGGTTCTGCGAGCTCCAGGGGAGGCGGGCTCTGCCCGCCCTTCTGCCCACTCTTCGCTGCTGGTGCCGCTGGCTTCATTTTCCCAGGGGACACTTGCAATGGGCAGTGCCTGTCGGACCTTGGGTGACTAGTGGCTCTTTCTAGAACTCTAGACACCACCTGTGTCCTCCTCCCCCTGGGCTGTTGTGGGTGATGCCGTAGAGACATCTCAGTGTTTCTCTGCAGGGATCAGGACAGGTTGTAAATCTAGATGCTTGCTCTTGGGATGTGTGTCAGAGGGTAGTGTGTAAGACCACAGTTACTTAGCAACTTCTTGTTGTCCCTGTCTGAGGCTCAGAGAGGGTGCTGAGAGGGACCAAGGTCACACAGTCAAACCAGATGCAATGTCAAGTGGCTAGGACTTCTGGTTCCAACTCCAGCTCTGGACAGATAGCTTGGCTGTGTCCCTAGTGGCCTGGGAAGGAGAGAAATGCAGAGATGGCACCTGGGTCCCTAGGACTTGGAAACATGGCAGCCTCAGGCCCGGGAGGCTGCCACCGCCACTATCTCTAGCCAGTGTGAGGACAGGCTTCTCCAAGCTATACAAAAATGGACCACCACAAGGCCCTGCTGACTTAGTGTTAGCGTCTGCCGTGTGTCCAGAGGTGACCCACAGGCCGTGGGAAATGGCTTTCTCGTGTTGTTGGTGTTCTAGAGTGACAGAACCTGCCTTGAACCTTATTTTCATCTCTGCCGTTTGGAGGCAGGTACTTCCTGCATCTGTCTGTCTTTCTAAACAGCTGCTGGGCCGCTGGGCCTTTCCTGGGTCACCCACAGACCCTGGTAGGTGGGGCCACCCTGCCCAGGGAGTGGCTTCAACCTCTGTACTGCTGTGTGGCTGGGTTTTGGTTGGGTTGGGTTTTGGTTTTTTGAGACAGAATCTCAGGTAACCCAGGCAGCCTTGGACTCCTGGTCCTTGGCCTCTACCTCCAAGCCTCCTGAGTGTCGGGATTGCAGGTGTGGAAGCATCAGCGGGAATTGTTGGGGAGGCTGCAGTACTGAGAACTGAACCCAGAGTGTATGCCAGGCAAGCGCCCCACCACATTGCTGTTGGTTTTCTCTGTTAGGGCTCACTGGTTGCTGTTTTTAGACACTGCCGTGCTCTGCAGCCCAGGCAGGTCCCCAACTAACAGACTCCACACCTGCCTCTGCCTTCCTAGTGCTGGAATTAGAGGCACGTACCACCAGGACCTGCTCTTTCCAGCTAGCTTCCTTACTCTCAGGCTGTCAGCAGTGGCTTTTCTTGGTCACCACGCCTGTCGCTACCTCCATCTGCCTTTCTGCCTCTCTGGACTCTGCTGTGGGAATGATGATACTGGGGTCTTGTGCACAAAAGTGAGGACATCAGGCGTTTGCTCAGTAGCTGAGGATGAACTTGAACTTCTGATCCTCCTGCCCCCACCTCCAAGTACTTGAATCACAGTCTTGTTCTATTATACCAGTTTATACGGTGCTAGGGTGGAACCCAGGACCAAGGCCTCCGGCGTGTTAGGCAAACACTGTACAGTGGAGCCCCAGCCCGGGTCTGGTTGTCGCCTGTGAGGTGGGGTCTCATTATGGAACCCAGGCTAGTCTTGCATTTGCTTTCCTGCTTCCTCAGCCTCCTTAGTGCATGGTGGAGACCAGCTAGCGTGGCGCTGTGGCTGGGTCCACGGCCCATGCAGGAGACAGCCTGAGTCACTTCAACTTTGGGCTTTTGTGAGCACGGTGCACACACGTGCACAGAGTCTCAGTGTGGAAAGATGGTGGTGAGTTGCCAGGACAACTGAAAAGCTGCCTCCTCAGTGCCCGTGGGGAGAAGAAAGGAAGCTTTGAGATCAAATTCATGGGGATGGTTCTGCCCCTGCTCCATCGGGAGAGTGGGCACAGGTTTTGTTCAAGGCCATACCAGGGTAGGGCCTGGCACCGGCACAGGTACAGTCCTGCCTCTGTGTCTCAGACACAGCATGGTCCAGCTGAAGCGACCTTCTTCTGGCTCACAGCTCAGCTAGGAGCACCCTGTCACGTGGGAGACCTTCAGACTGTTTTGCAAACAGGTCAGCTATGTGAGAAGATAGGAGGGGACTTGAGCAACCTCCTCCCCTGGCCTGGGCTTTATTTTCTATGGCCAGCTGACCCCACAAGACAGTGGGGCGCACGATCAGGGATCCAGGGGCCTGGGTCCCATTCCCTCTCCCCCGAGTCCACTTCCGGGGCTCAGCTTCCCCATCTGTACAGTGGAGCCATTGCTTAAGTTCTAAGCAACCCCATTGATCTCTGGAACGATAGAGCTGCCTCCGACATGTGTGTACTTCCATGTTCATGTATGTGTGTGTACGTGCGCACATGCAGCAGTCCCCCCCTCCCCGACTCCCTGGTGGAAGGGAGGAAGGGATATTTGGGGCCCTGGGCTCCACCGTAGTTGGTTTAATTACAGGTTTTCAACTGCAGGCCGGTGGGCATGCATTGGGGAGGGGGTGTGCTGCTCAGAAACCCTGTCATTTTCCCGTGTCTGAGGGCCTCTTCAAAGGGGGGCATCTAGACATTTTCTCCACAAGCCGCAGAGTGGACTGTCGTGGCCCCAGCATGAACATAATGACAGACGCATTTTGCAGCAAGCTGGGAGTGAATGGGTCCGACCGGCTTGTCTCCTGTCAGACGAGTCATTATTTTTTTTTTTTTGTCATTTGCTGACAGTTTGGGTTTCATGTGTTTCTTTCTTTTTTTCTCTTTTTCCCCCTGCCTGGAAAAATGGCTAGGTATCTACGAGACCCCAGCAGGGACCATCCTTTACCACGCTCATTTAGACATAGAGGCCTTCACCATGGATCGGGAAGTGCGCAAAATCAAGCAGGGCCTGGGCCTCAAATTCGCGGAGCTTGTCTACACGGGTATGTGCAAATCACAGTTACCCCCAGAGCCCCACCCCAACTCCCCCTTCCCCCCGGGACTCAGGCTTTCTCTGTCATCAGCCACGCCTTCCTCCCATCTAGCCCCGCCCACCGCATCTTCTGAACTCAGAAATACAAATGGAAGGTGTCAAGTTGAACCCAGGGTGAGGGAGAGGCAGGGACAGTGGGATTGGCCTTTGCATGGGTGCCAAGGGAGACATGCCAGCCTCCAGAGGTGTGCCATTGTATCCATTACAATGTCAGAGAAGGACTATGCATCATTGCCAGTGTCAGCCAGTCTGAATCCAACAGGTACCAGGCTTTGGCAAGATGTGTGGACAGCCTACATTGTTCGAACAAGTCTCCCAGATAGTCTGCAGACAGGGAGGTGGTGGGGGATACGGGGACCCCCGCCATCTGCCCATCGGAGATGCTCCTTACTAAACCTCCAATGTGGGACAAGCCCATGGTGACATGAGTACCCAGCATGGATGGCCATATCTTCCAGACAAGCAGTGCCTGCTCTGGAACTCAGACCTCCAGAGTCCAGCCTTCATAGCAGGAACTGAGGGGCCCTAAGCCATAGTCTCTGTCAGCCCCAGCCTGACGTCCATTTTTCTGCAACTTGTGAGTTAGGAATCATTTTAAGATTTTTTTTTTTTTACTTTTAAGTGGTTGGAAAGGGAAAAACTTTCATGACATATGGAAATTATATGAAATTCAAACCATAAATAGAGTTCATGTCCCTGTGATCTATGACAGCTATTTGAGCTGCCGTGGCAGAGTTGAGTTGATTCAGCAGAGACCTGAAGGCGCACACAACTATAATAATGACATCAGTACTGGGCATGGTGACACAAGCCTGTCATCCCAGCACTCATAATCTACAAGTTTGAGGCAAGTCTGGACTACACAGTGAGACCCTGTCTTTAAAAAGACTAAAACAGGGCTGAGTGTGCTATTGTACACCTATACCACAAGCTCATGTACACACACACACACACACTAGCTTGGGGGGATCCTAATAGGCTAGTTTAGAAGACAGGCTGCTACCTACAACCAACCTTGGCAGCTCTGAAGACCAGAAGTCTGGGTATCTGGATAGAGTATATCAGTCATAGCCACCTAGCTGAACCCTCTGGCCTGTCCCCATCCGCATCTCCCCAGGCCTGCTGGAATTCACCCAGGGTCTCAGGAGAGCACACTAGCTCAATTGGCTGATATTCCTCCTTGCTGCCATTGTTCTCGGTAGCTCTGGAGCCCAGTCTCCCCCTCTTCAGGTACAGACAGGTGTTTAAATATCATTGTTTCCTACTGGCTCGGCAGGATTTCAGTGCTTAGATGTGGATTTTGGTTACAAAGTCGAATTGACATTAAGACATGGCAAGGTGTGGGGGAGAACGGAGAGCACCTGGCCTGAGTACCCAGGAGGCATCCCTGAGGGCTGGGCAGGAGAGGACAGAGGGGGGGCACTTCCGGGTACCACTGTGTCCAAGTCTGCTGCTGTCCTGCTAGCCCTGGACTAGGCACCTGATGAGTATTACCTAATCTTGGCTGCACAGAGGTGGGGAAACTGAGACCCAGGCAGACAAAGATTTTATCAAAGGTTTTATGGCTGATAATTTACAGTGGCTGAGCCTGAGATGAGCAGGTTTCAAAAGTCAGGTTCAGGGTCACTCCCATAAGGCCTAGGAAGCTGTTAGCAAGGAATGAGTCGGGGGTACTGGGACATGCACAGGAAACCCTGATTGCAGGCACAGTGCCTGGGCTGAGTCCCTTCTCTGTCAGCCAGAAATGAGTCCCGTAAATCCCAAAATGAGGCTGAGCGATTAGGAGCTTTCAAAGGAAACAAAATCTTGGAGTGGAAAGAGGAGCAAGGCAGGGAGCAAGGCTTAGACCAGGCCGTTATTGCTAATATTAACTCTGCCCGAGTCCTGTGATGTCCAGGTGTCCACAGAGGGCAGAGCCAGCCCTCTGGCAGCCCAGAGTGCTGCTTGATTGGTCCCTCCCTGGAAGGAGACGTGCTGTAGACCCAGCTTAGCAGGATGCTGTCGCTCACCCTCTCTGCACCCCAGCTTTCTTAACTAAAGAGCAGGGATGGCCACTCTAAGGACCAAGGGCATGGATGCACCGTGCATCTGTGATAGTGCCCACAAGAGCTACTAGTTATATAGCGCTGGTGTGGTTTCTACTGTGCGAGCTGGGAGGCTTTGCCTCTAGTTGGCCTTATGGTCTTATTCCCTGAGCCTCAGTTTCCCTTCCTGTAAATGTCAATGGTGCCAGGCCTAAGACCTGGTGGGATCTCTTCCCCTCCCACCAATCATCCCTGGTTCACACACACACACACACACACACACACACACACACACACACCGCCCCTCCCCCACTTTGCTGTAGCTTTCTGCGGCCTCACAGCACCAATGGGGAGACTAGAGCAGACATAGGAAGTCCTGCTCCTGGATTCACAGGATTCCAAGACCGCTGTCACCATCTCTGTGTGCCTGGGTCCCCCTGGCTAGATCTCCCTCTGTATTCTCCATTTCCAGATTTCCCTATTGGCTACATGGGGTTCGGGGATACTCTCTTCTCCCAGGTCAGCCTGGTGGAGCATCTTACTTGGTGGCTGTAGCTCACCTAATAGACATGGGGCCCCCTTGCCTGTCCTCAACAGGAAATGGGTACAATGTACAACTTTAACAGACACTTGACCCTGTATCCTGGGCCTAGAAGAAGGAGCCTTTTGCCGCTCAGTCCCAAGCCCCTCCCACTGTACATCACAGGCCTGGGCATGCGGGATCCCCTTGCTCAGGGGGACCAGGCTCACTGGCCCATTTCAGGCTAGGTCCACCGGGAAAAGAAACTTGAGCCAAAGACCCCTGTGGGCTGTAGACAGATCCCAAGATAAAGTGGGGGCAGTGGCTTCTATCTGCTCTTCCTATCTACAGCTCCATCTCCACCTGCCTCCAGCCTGGGAGCATAATGGGCTAATTATCCCAATTGGGAAAAACAGACAGCAGGTGGCAGGGATGTCCCCTCCCAAGGAATCCAGTGCTGTGTTTTAGAAGTCCCTGGTTCAAAAGTCCTCCATCAGACCTGGCATCTGCCATGATCCTGCTGTGTGACTTTAGACAGGCCCTTTCCTTCTCTGGGCCTGTCTCCCTACACACAGAGGGGCTGTCAGAGGTCATAGTGCTTAAGCAGCAGAGTTAAGTTCTCACTGAATCCGCACATCCACGAAGAACAGTTAAGTAATCATATCTTGCTATATACCAGGGGCAACAGTCCTGAGGAAGTGTGTCCTGGATCCAGGTAGAAGTGGAATGTGAATATGGCCAGACAGCAGAGGCTAACTTTCTAATGCCTTATCTCCCTGCCTGGCTGTCCCCAACCTTTGCAAGCCACACACACACACACACACACACTCATTCTCTGTCTCTCTGTCTCTCCGTCTCTCTCTGTCTCTCCGTCTCTCTCTGTCTCTCTCTCTGTCTCTGTCTCTCTCTCTCTCTCTCTCTCTCTCATGCATACACACACCTCTTCCCCATGGTGCCCCTCTAGGCCTCTAACAGTAGCTGGGTCCTGCTGACCTACCATCTTATCAGGGCAGGAGATCACAGGCCATCTGGCCCCACAGCTGCCCAGGTGGGTTCACCTTCCTGGCTCTTTCAAAAAAACCTTGTGACTAACCTACCCCTCCCCCAACCCTGACTACAGCCACCTGCTGTCTCTTGGTTCTGGGCCCCCCTGCTGTCTCCTAAAGGAATGGCTATCCAAGGACAGTGGGCTCTAGGGGGAGGAAGTGTATTTCTCATGCACCTTCAACACCATGTGCGATAGTGGACGCTGTGGTCAGAGAGGAGAACACCTATCGTCACAGGAAACAGTCAATGAAACAAGTCAGGAAACAGACTTGGCTAGGGAGCCAAGTCCAGGTCCCACTCACAGCCTCTGTTAGCTTGGACAAACTGCTTGCTGTCTTGAGCCTCTTCCTCTCCTTCTGTGGGACTACGGGGTCTCGGAGTTGTTGTTCCCAGGCTGTAAGGTTGACTGTGAGCCGACTTGATATAAATCTTCACAGAGCAGAGAGAACAGTTCAGGGGCCCTCCCAGGACGCCACAGGCTTGCTGGGAAGAAGGGCTCCACATCCAATACTGCTGTGCTGTTCCTACTTTACAAGAAACAGCTGAAGACCACAGAGCCCCCATGGTCTGTCTGACCACAAACCAGGGTGACAGTCCTGGGTACCCTCACTGATTAGCCCCATGGCATGTACCTCTGAGCCCTGTGTGAGGACTCCTCTCTTCCTCCGCAAAAATGTAGTGCTCATGGGCTACGGTCTTTCCGTGACCCCTATGCGTGTCTGTGTACAAAGCAGGGGTGTTCCTCCTCCTCTTAGCAACGATTGCCTTTGGGGGACAAGGAGGTCACTTCTTGACCCATATGTCCCCTGCAGGATTAAGGGATGGGGACTCCGGAGTGGGTTCCCCAGTCCATTAAGTGTCACATGCCAGCACTCACAAGTGAGTGAGGCAGCCGTGAGGCCCAGGCCATCACAGGGTAAGACCTGGGGGTCCCCTCCTGTGTTCCCACCATCCCTGTGCCCTGGCCTGAGGCCCAGCAGAAATCCTCACAACACGTCCGTCGTTTCCTCCCTGCAGGGTTCTGGCACAGCCCTGAGTGTGAATTTGTCCGTCACTGCATCGACAAGTCCCAGGAGCGGGTGGAAGGGAAGGTTCAGGTGTCTGTCTTCAAGGGCCAGGTGTACATCCTTGGCCGGGAGTCTCCACTCTCACTGTACAATGAAGAGCTGGTGAGGTAGGTTCCTGGTGCCTCAGCCCGTCTGGTCTGGTCTGGGCAGCTTTCCCAGCACAGTTTTGCTGCTTTCGTGTCGAGCTGTATGTGGGGGGCCTGGGGGGTGGGTAGGATGGACACATACCTCTGTAACATCTTGGATCCTACAACAGGCCATTTGGGAAGAAAGGCATCAGTCAAACGGTAGCTGTGAGTCAGGGATGTGGCTCAACTGGTAGAGTGCCTGCCTACCGTACACGAAGTCCTGGGTTCCAATCCCAGCTCTGCACAAAGCAGGTGTGGCGGTGCATGTCACCCTAGCATGCAGGAGGTAGAAGCAGGAGGATTAAAAGTTCAATGTCATTTTCTGATGCATAGTATAAAGTCATTCTGGGCCACAAGGCACTGTCTCAAAAAACAAAACTACAAAAGAAAGGAAGCAGGCAGGCTGAAATGTGGAATCAGGAAAAATTGGAGAATTGGAAAAGGAGGAAGATAGTCTGTCTGGGTATAAAAATTAGACTGTGGAGCAGCTTCCTTGACAGTTCTGGAGGGTTTGGTGGATTCCAGGGGCAGCACCTCTTCCAGGGAAGGCTTGGAAGAATTCAGACATACAAGGACATCTGGAGAAAGGAAACTAAGAAGCCAAGGTGTGGGACTGAGTCAGGCAATAAGGAGAAGGGAAGGACAGAGAATGAGGGAAGGACAGAGAATGAGGGAAGGACAGAGAATGAGGGAAGTTCATGGTGAGCTCTCTGGTGAAGGTGAACACTGGCAGGGGTGGTCACAAAGATGCCAGCGAGAAATGTTGGCAGGCTGGACTGGGTTGATAATCTCAAAAAGCAGATGGAGTCAACCCATCTTTATGAGTTGCACTGGATGTGGAGGGGGATGGCAGGGTGCAGGAACACCCTGGGGATGACGGGGCATGAGTCGGGGGGAGGCTGCATTTTCCTTCAGCGGTGCCAACAGAACCTGAGGCTTCACACTCACCAGGCAAGTGCTGAGCCACTGATCCACACCCCAGCCGTAAGAGAGTGAGTGCTGAGGGAGACTCAGATGTAAGTGTAAGTACCTTGAATACGAATCCCATCTGAGATAGCCCAGGAGAACCATCCCGTCTGCTTTAGGGCAATGAGCACGGCACCGGGTGACACATTGGAGGATCTCAAGCCTGCTGTTCTCTGAGGTCGTGGACAGAGGAGGCCACCTAGGGCAGAGAGAGATGGGCAGGAAACCCAGATGGAGCCCCAGGAGCTTCCTTCTGGGAGAACCAAGCAGAGGGTGGCTGACAGTGAGCTTGCTAAGCACCCTCCGTATCCATGCCTAGAGTTTGTTTTGACTTGGGAGACAAGGGAGACACAAGATTTTCTTGTGACGGAGGGTAGCCTGCCCTGAGAAACCCAGCCATCTCCCCTGGGCATCACTTGGCCAGGCTGTGGATGAGAACAAACCCACAGGGACAGGCGGAACTACCTGAGGAGGACCGACCCCGGCCCCAGCTGGCTCAGGCAAGGCCTGACCTGCCCTCCCAGGGACCACTTGGAATTAAAGTACGAGTTTTGTTTGGCAGTCAATATTATTTTTCTCCTTCCCCTCTCTCTGCCATGTTGAGTTCCTTCCCCCCACTTCAATCTTTCTAAACACTTTATAAGCCATAAATATAACCGAATCAGTTTAGATCAGTCGGGGTAAATGTCAAATTATCTTCTCTCTTTCTCTCTCTGGCTCTTTCTCCCTTCCCCCTCCAAATGAACAGCCTCTAATAATCTGCCCAACCCTTCATTAAACCTTACAGTCTCACTCAGGGAGATTAAATGAATAAAGTAAAAAGGGAAAGGGGGGAAAAAAAGAGAAAAGCAGAAGCAGTTATTCTCACTGCGTCTCCGACCATTTCCCTTTTCTTTTTGATTTCTACATCGCTGACTTGAAAGCCCTTGAGTGACAGCGTCACAGGGACCAGCGAGGAAGCTGCAAGAGGTAGCAGAGCTGGAAATGCCGGGCGCAGTAGGTAGAAAGTAATGTAATTATAGAGCAGGTCAGAGCCACTCGAATGAGCAAAAATAAAAGCACAGAGGTTTTTCTGTAGACCGTCAGAGGCGGTAAAAAAAACCATTGTAAACTCTGCTTCTACACCCCACCCCCCCACACACACCAAAGCACTATTTGAAAAAGAGGTTTTCCGTTCCCAAACAAGCACCACTCGCTCGATCGGGACTCCAGGCAGCCTCATGGGGCAGGTCTGTCCTTGATGGGGCCCTCTCTGCTGGACTCCTGGAGCTGTTTGTCCAGCTTGTCTTGGAAACAGGCATGGGGGAGATTTTGTTGTTTTTGTTTGTTTTTGAGATGAGGTTGCCACAGATTCAGTATAAGAGGGTGACCTTGAACTCCTGTCCTTCAGCCTCTACCTCCCAAGTGCCAGGATTGTGATGTAGAGTTTGTTTTGACTTGGGAGACATGGAGGTAAAGGAAAGAAGACCCCATGGCCCAGGTGAGGGAAGGGCTCAGCCTGCTCCCATGACTGTGTGCAGGGCGCTTCTAAAGTCGAGGGCTTCGGACAGAGGTGAGGCTGTGTTTCCAGAGCCTGCTCAACAGGAGGGAGAGAGCGAGTGATGCTAAGACTTACGCGTTCCCAGAACCCTCAGATGTACCCAGGCAAGCAAGGCTTGCTGCATATTGCACAAGTTGGTACCCTAGTCTAGACCAGCTGTTCCTGACTATATAGGCACATTGAACGGGGCCCACTGAGAGCCTGGCATCCTCTCCCGCTGAGGGAGCACACTGGTCACTGGTCAGTTCCTGGTGTTGTCAGGTGTGTGTGTGTGTGTGTGTGTGTGTGTGTGTGTGTGTGTGTGTGTGTGTGTGTCCCATGGGACAAGTACAGAGACTTCGTTTGTTTTTTAAGAGGAGATGAAGGTGGAGAGATAGGGTTTTACTATGTATGTAGCCCAGGCTAGCTTTCACCTCTCAACCCTGGTTATAGGTGAGTGCCACCATTCCTGGCTCACATTCGTTCTTAGAAAAGGTCCAGAGCTGAGTTGGAGGTGTGGCTCGGTGATGTAACACTTACCTGAGTGTGCAAAGCCTTGGGTTCATTTCCCCAGGGCCATCAAAAATAGGGGGGTAGGTGTTCAAGAGAACCCGAGGCGTGGCCTTAGTGACATGGTGGCAGGTACTTCCTCCTGCTTCCCGCTCTTACCTCATGGAGAGGGCTCCTGAGGGGACAAGCCACCTCCTTGTCCTCAAGAACCTTGAGATTGCTGTGTCAGACTAAAGACAAGGGCCTGATTGAGAGCAACATGGGAGTTAGGGGTAGTTGAGACTGCAGTGCCCCAAAAGCCGGACTTATCCAGGTACTCGGTGACACTGATGTTTGCACCTGTAGTATGTGACACTCTTTTTGTTTTGTTTTTCGAGACAGGGTTTTCCTGCCCTGGCTGTCCTGGAACTCGCTCTGTAGACCAGGCTGACCTCTAACTCACAGAGATCCTCCTGCCTCAGCCTCCCCAGTGCTGGGACTAAAGGCGTGCGTCACCACACCACCACCCTGCACATGAGATGCTCTTGTCTTATTCTTGCTTCCTCTGCACTGGTCCAGCTGGCCCGAGAGTGCCTAATAAATGCCTGAATGGGTGAATGAATTATTTGGGAGCGGCTGGCAGTTCAGAGCTGATCTGCAGTCCCAGATGAAAAGTCTGCCTATAAATGAGTGGATGGATGGATGGATGGGTGGGTGGGTGGGTGGATGGATGGATGGGTGGGATGTCAGTCACATTCCCAAGGCGCATAGTCAGCCCCAGGAACCTGCATGCTTCCCTGGGCTCTCTTAGATGGCTGGCAGGCACGGTCGCCAGACCTGCTGGGAAGGAGGCTGCAGAGGGGAGGGCAGCTTTACTGAGTCACTCTCAGACCATGGGTACCGTAAAGTCTGTGTGACTGGACAAGCAGGGTGAAGGTAACTCTGTGGGACTCCTTGCTGCAAATGCCTCCCAGCCTCCCTCAGCTCCAGAAAGCCTATCATTTGCTCCAGTTTGTAAGCATTGGATAGCATAGGCCATTTCAGGCCCAGGCTCTGTGGAGGACCTCAGTTTATGAATGTCAGGAGGAATTCACAGAGCCAGAGTTAGCCAAGCTGGGACCCAACCTGGTGTCTCTTTGCACTCAGGGTAGAGGTTTCTGGGGTGCTACCTGGCCGTCAGTTGCCAGCATAGCGCCTGACCCAGTACAGAGTTCCAGGGATTAGACTGGGAGGAGGGACTTGGCAGGGGGAGTGGCCTGCCTTGCTAAGCTCTGCTCTCTCTTTACAGCATGAACGTGCAGGGCGATTATGAGCCCATTGATGCAACTGGCTTCATCAATATCAACTCGCTCAGGTGAGAGACTGGTCCTTTCTGATCATCGGGGCTCTCGGGCTAAGGGCAGCAGGGTTTGATGTGATGCTGACCCTTCCTTCACGCACCGTGCTCCCGTCCATCCACCTATAGCTCCTCCACCTGGCCAGCTCCTGTGCTCAGCAGGGCCTGATAGCCAACCGAATCTGAGTGGCCTGGACATTTGACTCCCTGGATTCTGCCCTGACCTCTAACAATTGCTCGAATGCCTCCAGCCACAAGGACACTGTGAGCTCCTAGACTGGCAGATCAGATGGGGAAATGGCCTGAAGTGCAAAGTAATCTTTACGCTGCTGTCCCCTGGCTGGAGATCAAGGCAGCAAGTCACTGAGGGGAGGGGGGTCATATGCAATATCTGGAGTTACTTGGACCTGGGGGCTCAGACCCCTTCCCAAGCTCCAGGTGGATCAAGGGAGGGTGAGGTGCCCCTCCCGCACAGGTTCAGTGAAGTTACCTTAGGAGCCTGTGGGAATCAAGCACACAGCTAAAGGTGCTAGTATACAGCAATTTATGTGTATGTTTTTGTATAAGGAAGTCAGAGAGCACTTTGTAAGGTGAGTTCTCACCTACCACCATGTGGGCCCTAGGATCAAATTCAGGCCTTTAGGCTGGGCAGCAAGCCCCTTTACCTACTGAGCCATCTCGACAGCCCCTAGTTTATCTTAATTCTTTATAGAGATTCTGAAGTTCCCAGACACAGGCCCAGAATGGAGCCACACAGAGTTGGTGGTGCTGAGCTGGAAAGACCAACTCTGGGTTTTCCATTGCCAGCTCCTGATTCTTGGGGCTGTGTCAGGAAGACAGAGGCGGCCTCTCCTTGCTCTGGCAGAGACCTCTCTGCAGCCTCTCCACCTTCTGTCTCCTGCTCGCCTGTGGTTTATAACCTCATAAACCTTTTGAAATGGCCCAGAACATAATGGCCTCTTCATTTCTCCTATTGCCTGTTAAATGCTTTATCTTCAACAATGACAAACAATGTTTTCCCTCTCTGATAAATTAATTACATTATCCTGATTGGAGGAGCCACGGGAGACTAGGGCAGGAGAGGGGACCAAAGAAAAAGACAACTTCACACATCTTAACAAACAGCTGTCCCCACCGCCCCCATCCTGCCTGAATTAATTGAACAGAGCTCATGTTGTTATTGTGAAATTACATTTTTCTTTGTTTTCCATCTGGTTTATAGGCTGAAGGAATACCATCGCCTTCAGAGCAAGGTCACCACCAAATAGACCCTGACAAAGAGGAGCGGGGCCTCCCCACTCCGCAGCAATCCCAGGCTTCAGCGTTAATTGTTGTGATAAATTTGTAATTGTGGCTTGTTCTCCCGCCACCTGACTGGGGCTGCTGCGTGCCCCCCCCCCAGGCTTTGTTCCCTAGTCCCCTACAGCCTACAAAAGTGGTCATCCAAGGGAAGGGGAGGGCAGGGGCAGCTGCGGAGAACATAAAATGACAATTAAAAGAAGTTACATTAGTCTTTTATTTGTCTCTGCCTGTGTGCATGTGTGCTCACGCCTAGTCCAACTTTTGTGCTTCCTTAAACAATGTTTTATGCATACACATACTCTCACACACATGGATACACACACTCACACTCACATGCACACACACTCACTCACATGCACATGCTGGGGTGGGGGGTGGACACTTGAGCGCAGGTGTCCACAGATCTTTGGAGCGTTGAGTCTCCCGGTGCCGGAGTTACAGGACATTGTGAGCCATCAGATGTTGGTCCTAAGAACCAAAGTTGGTCCTTTGCACAAATAGCAGGCACTCTTGAGCTCTTAACCACTGGGCATCTCTTCACATACCCCCAACTTTTGTATTTTCTAAGTGTGGTGGGAGTTTACCTTTGCCAGAGAGCCTGCTTTATCTGTGGGGAGGGATGGATCCCCTCTTTCCTCCAGCAAAAAACAGGAACACAAAGTGCCCCCTGGGGCAGACAGTACCCAAGCCACCTGAGGTTCTGTCACATTTGCTTTAGTTGATATCTGAGAACATGTTGCCACTCCTTCTACTGGAAACTCGCGTGTATGGTGGCACCACATCACATACACATACACACACACACACACACACACACACACACACACACACACACGTGCGCGCGCCCCGCCCCACCCCCACCTCCTCCCTCCACACAGCTGGGTGGCTTCAGAGTGGCTTCGGAGAAGCCTGGAAAGAGACAAAAGTGCAGAATCGAAAGACTCTTTGTGACACCCAGGCCACATGGTTCTCTAGAGAGCCACATCCCCAAGTGGCTAAACACCTGGGCTGAATCTTAGCCACAGGAGTTAGCCTGAGCAGTCAGTCAGAAGTGAAGACAAGTCACCTTAGATACTGCGGATGCCAGAAAAAGCAGGGAGAGGGGCCGGGGAGATGGCTTAGTGCATAAAGTGCTTGGCCTGCAGTTTGAATCCCCAGAGCCCAGGTGAAAGCCTGTCAGCCTGACAGCCTGCCCGCCATCCTAGCACTGGGGAGGTGGAGACAGCAGCAAACTGGTGGGACTTCCTGCCCCAGATTATTAGTCACGCCTGTGTCCCCTCATCTTGGGAAGGGAGTTTTTTTTTTTAAGTTTGCATTGATTTATTATGAGGAGATGCACGCATGTCATAACACGCATGTGGCAACCGGAAGACAGTTTACAGGAGTCAGTCAAACTCAGTGTGTCAGGCGTGGCAGCAGGTATCTTTACCCACTGAGTCAGCTCACCAGCCCCCAGAGCATCTTCATTGGGAAGACCCACACTGCTGCCTTGTCCACTGGGGTTCTTTGATTTGCAGATGCCCATGTTAATAATGAATGATCCCATCCCCACGATGTATTACTTTTGCAGTCCCCTCGCCATGAGCATTCATGGCTAGGTGTGCTGGTGCATGCCTGCCATCCAGGTGCTCGGTTGCTCAGCAGACAGAGGCAAGCCACTCATCAGGACCTCACTGCACTGCCATGTGGCATCCTGAGCTAGGTGCTCATCTCTGCTCTGCAGGGGAGACAACTACAAGGCAGAGAAAATGACGTGCCAAACACTCCTCAGCTGTACATCAGAGCCTGGCTCACCATCATACTAGCTTACCATCACGCAGTTAAAAGATAACACATTTTTAGGGTTGCTTGGTGCTGAATTCAGAATCTCTTACATCTAAACTCGATCACTGAGCTACATACCCAGGCCCACTCACTCACACACACAGGGTGAATATACACACAAGTAACAGGTCCACTTTTGGATTCTCTGTTTCCCTTCACTGATTTATATTGCAACCCTTGACCAAAAAAAAAAAAAAAAAACACTCTGACTGAGTTATTGTAGTTTTATGGTAAATCCTGAAGTTAGGTCACATACACCTCCAACCTTATTATTTGCCAAGATTTTTAAAAATTATTCCAGATCCTTAGTTTTTCCATATAAATGTTAAAAATATGCTGCCCATTTTTTCAAAAATTCTACTGGTATTTTGTTTGGCATTGCATTCAAATACTGGTTCAATTTGAGGACAGGTGCCAATCCATGAACATGGTATACTTCATCATAAATTCTCTTTAATACTACATAGTTTTCTTCTTCTGGTGGGAGATGTTATTCTGTGAATATGTCTATCTTATTGGTTAATGAATAAAACACTGTGGCCAATAGGACAGCATGATAGGTGGGACTAGAGACAATGAGGATTCTGGGAAGTGTAGGCAGAATTGCAGTCACCATATGATCCCAGGATGAGAGGACGAGAGTGAGTCATTCTCTGTTCTCCCATAAGAGAAGACCATGTGCCGGGTGTTGGTGGCGCACACCTTTAATCCCAGCACTCGGGAGGCAGAGGCAGGCGGATCTCTGTGAGTTCAAGGCCAGCATGGTCTACAGAGCGAGTTCCAGGACAGCCTCCAAATCAATACAGAGAAACCCTGTCTTGAAAAAGCAAAAACAAAAAAACAAAGAGAAGACCATGTAAAAATACTTAGATTAATAGAAATGAGTTAATAATTAAGACAGAGCTAGACAATAAGAAGCCCTAGCCAGCAGCCAACAGTATTGTAATTAATATAAGTCTCTGAGTGTTCATTTGGGGCCAACGGGGTTGTGGGACCAGGCTGGTGGGAAAGAACTATCTGTAACATTTTTCTTTTCTTTCTTTCTCTTTGTTTCAAGACAGGGTTTCTCTGTATAACAGCTCTGGCTGTTCTTGAACTCACAGAGGTCCACCCACCTCTGCCTCCTGAGTGGTATGTGCCTCCACCACCTGGCGATACTACATAATTTTCAAAGTGCAAATCACATATATTCTGTTAAATTTGTTTCCTGATTTTGTTTTATTTTTAAAGATTTACCTTCTTATTTTGAATTGTGTGTGTGCATGTGTGTGTGTGTGTGTGTATGTGTGTGTGTGTGTGTGTGTGTGTGTGTACATGCATGACTGCAGGAACCTGAAGTCAGAGGTCCCAGATCACCTAGAGTTGTGAGTCACTGAACAAGAATGCTAGGAAGTAAACTTTGGTCCTCTTTAAGAGCAATACACACTCTTAACCATTGAGCCATCTCCCCAGTTCATAATTTTAACTAATTTATCAATTTACTTTGGAGTCAGGGTCTCACTATGTAGCTGTCTGGCCAGCCTCAGACTCTCAATGAACCCCCCCCCCCACTTCCTTATTGCCGGAATTAAGCCAAGCACTACCAAACCTGACTTTATTTGTTTTGATTATGTTTTTTGTTTTGTTTTGTTTTTCTGGCTTGGTTTGGGGTTGGGTTTTTTGTTTGTTTCTTTGATTGATTATTATTGTTTTTCGAGTCAGGGTTTCTCTGTGTACCCCTAGCTGTCCTGAAACTTTCTTTGTAGACCAGACTGACCTAGAACTCACAGAGATCTGCCTGCCTTTGCCTCCTAAGTGCTGGGATTAAAGATGTGCCCCACTATACCCAGCTCAATTTTCCCCTCCAAAGTTCTGAAAGATAAAGCATTGGCTGAAGGGTCACAAAGGAAGAAGAGTCGTAGTCATACAAGAAGAGGAGTCACACAGGAAAAGGAGGAGGAGTCACACAGGAAGAGGAGGCGGAGTAACACAGGAAAAGGAGGAGGAGTCACACAGGAAGAGGAGGCGGAGTAACACAGGAAAAGGAGGAGGAGTCACACAGGAAGAAGAGGAGTCACACAGGAAGAGGAAGAGTCACACAGGAAGAGGAGGAGTCACACAGGAAGAGGAGGAGTCACATAGGAAGAGGAGTCACACAGGAAGAGGAGGCAGAGTCACACAGGAAAGGAGGAGTCACACAGGAAGAGGAGGAGTCACACAGGAAGAGGAGGCAGAGTAACACAGGAAAAGGAGGAGGAGTCACACAGGAAGAAGAGGAGTCACACAGGAAGAGGAGGAGTCACACAGGAAGAGGAGGAGGAGTCACACAGGAAGAAGAGGAGTCACACAGGAAGAAGAGGAGTCACACAGGAAGAGGAGGAGTCACACAGGAAGAGGAGGTGGAGTAACACAGGAAAAGGAGGAGGAGTCACACAGGAAGAAGAGGAGTCACACAGGAAAAGGAGGAGTCACACAGGAAGAGGAGTTACACAGGAAGAGGAGAAGTCACACAAGGAGAGGAGGAGTCACACAGGAAGAGGAGGAGTTACACAGGAAGAGGAAGAGTCACACAGGAAGAGGAGGAGTCACACAGGAAGAGGAAGAGTCACACAAAAAGAGGAAGAGTTACACAGGAAGAGGAGGAGTCACACAAAAAGAGGAGGAGTCACACAGGAAGAGGAAGAGTCACACAGGAAGAGGAGGAGTCACACAGGAAGAGGAGGAGTCACACTCTGGATCTGTGTCTGGGCATCTGTGTCCAAACCAACAATCAGATTCCTCCTCCAGTCTCTGCTACTCCTAGGAATCACCAAACATCTCTATGTCAGCCAGAAAATAGGCTTAGTTTTATTCAACTGTATGTGCCTAATATACATGTGCAAACATGTACACAAGCACACACTTCCACATATGTAACACATGTAAATTTGTGTGCACACAAGCACAGACATACCTGCACATGTGAAATATATGTACACATACACATATTCACATGTACAGCAGCATGCCTAGGACTTGGTTCAGCTGGTGGAACCAGCACCCAGGACCTCCAGTGTCCCCGTGGCCTTGCTGGTGTCACGGAGTATTTTTGACACCAACCGATCAAAGAAAGAGAAAATGAAGATACTTCTTCCTTTCGGGAATGCAGAAGGGCACACAAGGTAGGGGGGACAGTGGTTAGAGCCCAGCACCTCCGTGACAGGGCCTCTTGCTTATCAGAAGAGGCTGCAGCGCTCCTTGAATGCATGAATGAATGTGCAGTGCTTGGTGAACAGATGAAGGAAGGAAGGTAACTGTGCCCACCTCTGCTCTCAACTGTACTAGAGAGTGACCTTGTGTGTGACTCACATGTGGACCTCATGTCCAGTCTTGTGCTGGGGTAGAGCGGGCAAGCAAGGAGATACAGAGTCTTG